GGGTGGCTGGGAGGCATCTCGCTTTCCCCGGCGTTTCTTTTGCGCCCGGCTCTCTCTCTCTCTCTCTCTCTCTCTCTCTCTCTCTCTCTCCCTCCCCCCTTTCTCTGCCTCTCCCTCTTCCCACATTCGACGGACGCTTCGGCAGATTGTATCTTTCAGTGTGTCCAGCGGGTAAATAAGCAGTAAGTAACGAGACGGCCGCGCGCCGAGCAGGAAGAGAGATTATCGGGGCGTAAGCACGAGAGAGCATCGGCCGTCGCGGCCGCGGCCGCGACGCGGCGCGGCGTGCGGGACACACGAAGCGAGATACCGCGCGCGGCGCGTAATACCGTTTCCCCGGCTTGTACGACTTATCGACGTCCGTCGAGCGTCCGTGTGCGTGTGCGCAAGGACCGGGGAGACATCAGGGGACATCTGGGAGGCATGCCTTAATTGACCGCTCGGAATATCGACGAGATCCCAGAGACGGATTGAGACATCGGATTTCCGAGGGACGTTCGCATTTTTTGCCCGCCATGAAATATGACCGCTCAATATGCTCGGCGGATTTATTTATGTACTCGAAGATCGCTCCGGCTCTCCGGCTCCAGGATCACAACGACGATGTTCTTTTTCTTTTTCGCCTTCGTCATTTTTTTCCTCTCTATCTCTGTCTCCCGCTTCGAGCCGCTTCCCCGTCTGTGTCGCCATTCAAAACCGTGTCTTCCATGCGCGATTTCACGCGCGCGCGCGCGCCGAATATTCACCTTGAATACTAAGCGAAATTCTATTTTCGTAGAAACTTCATCCCACCGCGTATCGCGGCCGACGCGAGTCGACGCTCGCGCGTGGAAGCGATATCGGAGGAGCAGCCGATGAGCTACGAGCGCGCGCGCGCGCGCGCGCGATTCAATTGAAACGAAATTCCAGGCGGAGAGAAAGAGAGATTGCAGGCGCGCGCGTGCACAGTATAACAGATGAGCCGATTCTTATTAATCATTTTCACCCGACGTCTCTCGCAATCTGCCTGGCGGGCGCTTCGCGGGCTCGTGGACAGTCCTCTGAGGTGAGATCGCCCGGGCAACAGGTGGTCACACTCACAGGTGCGTAGCCGCCGATGCAACGGTCCCGCATTCGTTTCGCAACGTGACCGGGCCGAATTCGCATCATCCTTCGCATCTTGTGAATATGCGCGCGACTGTCGAAGGTTAATCAAGGGTCTTCGGGACGTTCGCGCGATGACGCGCGCGATCGCGAGAGCGAGCACGGCGACAATGGGCGTCGTCGGATTACCGAGGCGCGATCCGAGATCGCGCCGCACAAATGGAGCTGTCAACGTTCCCTGTTAAGCCTCTCACATTGTATGCCGTATCGGAGTGACGCGAGCCGACAAACTCTCTGCCGATCGGCGCGATGACGCGCGGAAACGCGCGCGCGCGCGCGCTGATGAGGCGCACTGTCTCGAATTTCGTGCGTCATTATCCGGAATGAGAGTGGAGTGGATCGATGAGGTAACGATGTAGGCGCAGTTGATACGTCAAATTCTTAGCCGAATGCGTACGAAGAGAAGCGCGCGCGCGCGGGCGTGCGACACGTGTATTTTGCGCTCCGGACAATCGATATCCTCTCGTTCGCTCTCGACTCCTCACCGTCACCGCCGGACTTGCGTCTCTCTCTCACTCGATCTCCTATACGCGTCGAGAGAGCAACGCCTCTGGATATAAAATTGTAAAGCCGACCAGAAAGATCTATATGGAACGAGACATTGTACATGCCGGCGAAGCGAAGACGAACGACCCCCCCCCCCTCCCCGGCTTCTTCGTCGAGCAGTCGAAACGAAAGCCGCAGCGTTTGAAAAGTGAGTGACGAACGCGCGCGGCTCTTCCGCTGCGGCTCTACTGGTCGACTCTGCTTGATCGATGGCAAGCATCGGGCGGACCGTAGGTATCAGCAGGTCTAGCAGGGAAATGTGGGTGGACGACGAGGGTGAGGGGCGTGTGGGTGGGTAGCTTTTTCATTAATCGAGCGGAGCCTTACGGAGGACAAGCAGGCCGCAGAGAAAGAGAGAGAGAGAGAGAGAGAGAGAGAGAGAGAGAGCTGACACGTGGCAGTGTGTGCGATTGCTGCGAGACGCGAACGCAAAGAGGATGGGATGCGCGTTTTCGGATAATCATCTCGCGCGGCGGATTTCGATCTCCGAGGGAAACGTCGCGCCGGACGGTAAATTTGCGACCACAAGCCGATATTTATCGGATCGGACTTTTCTTGTCGGAAACATACCGCGGTCTGTAATGTAAACACTCGACCTTCCCACGATGACTTCACGCGTCACGTCGCGACTTTAATTGCTCGTTGATCGTTCCGAGGCACTTGAGCTCCGCTGACGAGCATTTCACGGTTCACAACAACACGATGTAAGCGCGTGTACGTTGAACAATCGGACCGATCGGATGACGGGCAGATTCGTATCGGGGTATTTCCCGCCTCGGGTATTACGTCCGATCGTGGGAATTATCATCGTCCGGACGACGATCGAGAGCTCGATTTCTCTCTTCCCGAGATCTTTTCGCGGAGGAGAAACCATCGCGCAGAAAGAAGCTTACGTAACTCTTCCGTGCTCTTCGGCGCGGCGGCGCGGAGGAAGCGGATTATAATAGCGACAGCTCTCGAATTTATCGCGGAGCCGCGCGCTTTCCCGACACCTCGCGCGAGAATCGTTTTCCCACAGTTGAAGGGTCAAGCGAGGCCCGCGAGGCGCTCATCAAGGTACCAAAGAGCCACACGCACGGTGCTAAAAGGGACAGGTAATTTAGCGCGCGCCAGCGCGCGTTACGAGATAGGACGACGCGACTCGATCGCCGCGGCTCGGTGATGAAAGGGGGAGGGGAGGAAAGGGCTTGTTAAACGATACCGACCCGAGGTCAGATATCCCGCGCGAGAGCCCGGGATCTGCGCCGCGGATATCGCGGACGGCTTATTGCACGACGCCAGCCGGCGAGAATGATAGGCGCACGCCCACGTACGTGCGTTATCGGCTGTGCGATCGCCGATTGATCGTGGCCGCGTGAGGCAGAGAGATCTCAGGGGAAAAGCGACGACGCCTCGACGGCGACCTCGGCGTATCCGAGATCGAGATATCTCGAACCCCGATACGATACCGTCCGGCCGGATTCTCTCAGCGAAGCTGGAAATTAGCATGTAAGGTGAGCGCTGTGTGCGCCCTCGCGAGCGTCAACACAGTTTCGGATCCGCGGACTGGAGCAATCGCGATAGGGATGGGATAGCGTCGAAAAAAAGCATCGTCTTCGATTTAATCGATTATCGAAAAAAAAAAAAAAAGAAAAAGTCGATTTCGCATAATCGATATTTTCTTAAAAATATCGATAATAATCGATAATCGATGTTTCCTAGTTTATTTTAAATTAATGCGAAGAGTTATACGTTGCAACGCTAAATTAATATTTTATTAAAAGACCATAAAGACCCTTTTACAATGGCTGCGAGCGTAAGGTTATGCAAGAATAAGGCTATAAGCGTTAAGCGACAAGAAATAAACCGATTAAAGTCGGTTGTTCTTACAACAGTTGTCGACTGTTGTTGGTTTATTTTTTACTGTTTACTGTTACAGCTTTATTTTTGCAGCATTATTGTAGACAGGCCTTAATAGTAGTAAACAAATTCCCTAGCGATGAAAATTTAGTAACAAATCTAGTAATATAATCGACGAAAAGAATAATCGGCCCGAAGAATATCGGTCTGATAATCGATTTTTCAAGAAAATAAGAATCGATGCTTGTTTCATCGATCGGTACTTGCCCATCACTAAATCGCGAACGAGAGGTGCCACTTTGAAGAGTCGGGGGAGCAGGAGGAGGCAGAAGGAGAATTCTTTCCCGTCACGTTTCTCGCATGGTCTGTTCTTTCTAGCTGCACTAGCGGAACCAGTGCAATACGTTAGAATGAAACAACTATATCTTTTCTCACATTAACTTATTGCACCAGTTCAGTAGTGCAGCTAAAAAGAACAGACCATATATTCCCTGCGCTGTATTTCTCCCCCCCCCCTCCTCGGGCGCAGCCGTGTCCGCGCGCGGCGCGGAAAGCGCATTCTCGTCACGGAGTATCAGCTGAAAGCGGACGCGCAAAATTGTGGAGGCGCTCGGCTCCGTCCGCGACTCGCTTTCATTATCCGCTCCACGATCGCGGAATGTCAAGCCGTAGCGCGAGCACGATGACATCTCGCGCTCTCCTCCATATTAGCGCCTCCGGAGGCGACAAGCGCGATGACCAACGACGCGGCACGTCCGCGCCGGCCTCTTCCTCTTCGACGAGAACGCTGGAAGAAGACGTACGTCTCTCCAGGGGTGGTCGACGCCCGCCGCGCGATTCGCACGAGATAAATCGATCCTCTCGCCCCGAAGCGCGAGTCCTCGTCGGTTTCGCTCGGCCGGTGAGTCCTGCTCAGGCTCCGCGAGACTCTTCGCCCGATCGCGCGCGGTTGGCCTCCTTGGCGCAGCCGCCATTGTGCGATGTGAGCAGCACGGGACGGTTCATCGTCTTGATAATATTCGTATAAAACCGCAAGGCAAGTAGCGGTGACGCTGACGCTTATCAAAAGGCGCCTGCGTTTGTCCGCGCCGAGAACCAAGTGATTCCAAGTTGAAAGAGCGCCGGGGGCGGGGGGGGGAGGGGTTACGCGCGCTCGCCGCCGCGTATAATTGCGCGAGTGCCGCTCGCTCGTACATCAAAATCCTCGTCGGCCCGACGACGGCGCGGAAAGCGCTCGGCCGAGATTGTTATCCGCAGCGCGCGAGTTATGTGCATTAACAAACGGGGGTTGCCGTTAGCGTGACGCGGCCTATAAGGCCGCTCGCCGCTCAACAGAATTTACGTCGCGCTTGCCGTTATTACTTCTATGATCATTCCCTCCCGCCGGGTGTCTCCCGGCGAGGATTATCCGAGAGCCGGTGTCCTCCGGCGCGCCGCGTGAAAAATAATTGAGTCGTCGGCTTCGACGCGCGTGTCTCGCGCGCAAACAATATGGCGCATAAAAAACGCGCATCGCGCGTCGGGGGAAGAAGGTGATGCTCGATGCGTGTGCCTCGACCTCAACAAAAACATCAACGTGCTTTCGTCGAAATGACGAAGGAGGTGGCTTGAGCTGCCGCTGGAGTAATGTACGATGCAAATGCGCTTATCGCGAGAATGCGAGGTGCATTATATCCGCGACTCACCGCAACACCCACCACCGAAGTACCCTCCGACGAGGAAGGCGCGTCTATCAGCGTGAGTTGAATTCTCAGTTTTGCGCGTTTAGCGCCTGCATGCTAGATTAAGGAGATCTATCATGCTGGGCGACAGCAACATCGGATTCTTTCGGCTAAATAGTGGAATATAAATCCTAGCCGCACGCTGAACCGCGCATTGAATCCGCCGCGTTGACGTTATCGCGCGCGATATCTGGTTGGACTGTATTGCAAACGGCGTTTTCCGTCATCTACCCGACTAGAAATTTATCCCATGGTTCTGATCAGGTTAACCTCATTTGGACATCAGGTCCCAATAAGGTAATACTCGGTCGGGTCCTAGTAAGTCATGTAACGCAGCGTGGATATCAGAACCTTAGAAAGGATTCATAGTCAGGTCCTTATTGAGTTACCTTATGGAATCCTTATTACGTTTTTTTTTTTTTTTTTTTTTTCAAATTATGGCTCCTGATTACTCGCCACGGCTATATTGGATGATGACATTAGAAATAAGAAATGACACGCCGAGAATTTTTTCGTGTCATTTCCAAATAAAAAGATATTTGCATGAAATAATATTTTAGATCGCTTGAGCATCCTTGTAAAATGTTTCGGAAAAGAAACATAAAATGAATATCATAAGATCATTAAGTATCACAAGGTGACAAGACATAAAGTAGTGTTAAAGAGAAAAGTTGCGTGTCACATTAATTTTACAACTATTTATTGACTGCTAAAGAAAGGATAGTTTCTATAGCATTTTGCAAATATATTCAAGTGATCTCAAGTGTTTTTTCAATGCAAACATCTTTATATTTGGAAATGACACCCAAAAATTGTTTTGTGAAATCTTGATAATGCAACTCATATTAGGTACAATGAATAAGATCCCGACAAGGACCTGATTAACTGGACCATATTATATCATACACTAGGTTGGTACATTAAGATCCTAATGTGGACCCAATCATTGTAATCTTACAAAGGTCTTCCTTACTCATTTGTCGTTAGGACATTATAAGGACTGACTTATTTAGGATTACCTTTCATTCACTCTATTAGGTCCTTATCAATGTTAGGTGAACCTGATCAAAATTTCTAGTCGGGTAGTAAGTCTCGCTAGTTTTCTGCACGGTATAATGTTTTCTGCTCGAGACATTTGGATGAACAAAAAGGAAAGGGTACTCTTTTTCTAGATGTTGCGCTCGGTAGTCGGTGTGCGAGAAAGTCACTCGAAGAAGGTACTTCACGTTGTTTCGTAATACGACGATTAGAGGGTTAACGACGACGAGAAATGTCTCCGCGAGAAGCGCTCGAAAGTTGATTCCTCGCGGCGCGGAGTGAAGCGAACGAACGCGAGTTCGCGGGCTTCTCTCTCTCTCCCTATCTCTCCCTCTCTGTCTTTCCCTCGTTCTTTCTCTCTCTCTCTCTCTCTCTCTCTCTCTCTCTCTCTCTCGCTGTTTCCTTCTCTTTTTCTCGCGGTGAACGCGTGGTCCAGCCCGCCGGCTGCTGAGGTTGCCGAGGTGAGATGAGAGAAAGAGCTGCGGAAGGTGAGAAAGAGAGGAGAAGGAGATGGAACACGGAGAGAACGAGACGCCGCGAATGCACGATGCATCGTCCGGAGAGAGAAAGACGAACAAAGCGCATTCCACACGCCGTCATTTGTTCCTTGTCCGCGCCGCCCTCGGTACTTCATTTCGATTCGTCATTATTTCCTCGCCTCACTTTGTGCTTTATTAACGCGCACTAGCGAGGAAAGGGCAGAAAGAAGAAAAAAAGAACGAAAGAAGGGAGGTCGAGCCGCGGCCGAGCGATTTTCGCGAAGACACTCTCGCGTCTTGACCTAACGACGCTGTGCCGTGACTTTTAAAAAATGGCGCGTATCGTATGATTCCGCCATCGATGACAGTTGGAAATGTTTTCTCTTTTTTCCCAAAACTGAAGGATCTTCCTCGACACCCACGTCCTTCTCCTCACGATTCACTTTCTACTGTCTCTCGAGCGAAGGGAAACGACCCGACGCTCTCTCCCCCTCTCGGCTCTTCAATTATACCCGTGCGGGGCCAAAGTGCATCAAACAGTTAACTCGAGCATAGCGGCGCCGCGGCGAAGGACGGTGGCGCGAGGAGACGGGACAAGAAGAGAAGGAAGAGTCATGATCGAGCGGAGCGACGCGAATAAAACGCCGTCGCCGCCGACATAACGAAATCGAAAAATGGCAGTACACGAGCGCGCGGAGACGTACCGCATCGTAGCCTTCGGGCCGGCCGCGCCGCAGGGAGCGAAGGAACTTAACCGCAGACTCGAAAGCAATAAACCATAAAGCTATTAATGTTACGCCCTGGGATGGTTACGCCACGGTTATAACGTATATATACGCGCGGGACTTACACAACCCCGCCGCGCGCACGAATGTTGCCCTCTCTCGTCCGTCGTCGCTGTCGAGCTCGCCGAGGAGCCGCTCGGTCTCTCTCTCTCTCCCTCTCTCTCTCTCTCTCTCTCTCTCTCTCCCTCCCCCCCTCTCTCTCTCTCTCTCTCTCTCCCTCGGGGTTGTAGCCGAGCGATCTCGATGACAAAGCGATTCGTCGCGAACCACGGACGAAAGTCCGACACGGCCCCGCGCCGGGCTATGAATTAGAATACATTCGATGTCAAACAATGACACGGCGCGCTGCGGCCGCGAGAAGTGGTCGGTTCGTTCGCTCGCGCGCGTCGCCCGGTCGAATCGATCGCTCGTTGATCCCGATGAAGGTCGGACCGAAGGTTTGAGAGAGAGAGAGAGAGAGAGAGAGAGAGAGAGAGAGAGGGAGAGGGAGAGAGAGAGGGAGAACTGGTCTGAGTCGGTTGGGATATCGTGGGAGATGGCTTGCTTTTTTTTTATATTTAGGGTGTGCTGGAGCGTAATCGGACGTATTCGGTAACGAATCGTTATTTCAGAGAAGAAGAGTGACACGATTATTATCGCTGAGCGATATTGTATGCGACGCCGATTTTTCTCCTTCGCCCTTTCTCCTTCTTACCTCCCCTCTCCGAAATCCGTGCCCCTGCGTCCCCCCTCCGCCGGCGGTTCTTTTCTTTCTCGAGTCTTCCCCCCGAGCGAGTTCCAGCCGATAGTTATTTCGCGCGTTTACGATACCCGGGTTTTATTTCGTCGGGCATTTAGCCACAGGGCTCCGCTTTACGGGGCAAAGTGGCCGGGAAAGAGAGAGAGAGAGAGAGAGAGAGAGAGAGAGAGAGAGAGAGAGAGAGAGAGAGAGAGAGAGAGAGAGAGAGAGAGAGAGAGGGTGACTGGGCAGCCTTAGCAGCGCCAAGAACAATCTTCATGGTAGGGATCGCGAGGTGGCTGGACGGTATCGATGTTTACGAGCTCAAATAAACGGCGCGGCCGCCGCCGCGCCGTCATCGACGTGCGGTTATTCCGTATTACTTTGGGCCTTTAATGGGGGAAGGGTGGCATCCTAAAATGCCGCATAAAAATCGACGCTCTCCTAGAAGGTGGTCGAGGGACCACGCATGGTTCGGTGCGACGTGCCGCTCGCGCGCGCTCACAAAAGAAACCTCACCGCGGGATTTCGGCGTCTCTCGCGGCCTGCCGACCGCTGCTTTCTCTTCACGTCCTATGTCTTCCTCGCCCCTTATCCTCCGCGGTTTTTGTCAGATTTATCGTTCGCGCACGGTTTCGAGTCTCGCACACGGGACTCCGGGCCCCGCGGACTCTGTTGCCGCGCAGCACTCTTCTTCAGCAGTGACGGGCGGACGGTTTCCTCTCAGCGGCGAGTCGCGATAAATCACGAATGCGTGTACGCATTTGTCTCGCTCATCCTTCGCGGCCGGCAGTTCCCGCCAAATTCGTCTTCCAGCCGACTAACGAATTCGAATGACGTTCCTCCGTCGCGAAGCGACAGTCCGCGACTGCGATAATCGACTCGCAGTTTAGCCAGATCTAGCGAGGACGACGAGTCCTCTCAAGGATCCTGCGAACGATGGCGAGGAAAGTGTTATTCCCGCCACGCCCGTAATCAATATCGCCGGCATTGTCTTCGGCCACGGTGCAGGCGTCGTAAATTTGGTAGAATGTTAATTCCACGCGAGAGCGCATGCGAGAGCGAGAGAGCGAGCGAACGAACGAACGGCCGGCCGGCCGGCCGGTCGGCTCTTACCGGGCAATTTTCGTAGCCTGGTCGTCGGGGATAATCACTACGTATCTGCCGCGGTGTATCTGCCCCGGTCCGGAGGATCTAATGATGAATTTCGTGCCGCGCACGCGGGAGAGAGCAAGGTTGCTCGGAGGTTGGAAAACGAGAACGTGGAACGTGTCGGACCGCCGACCTTAACCGACACTTCTCGGCGAACCTCCACTTTCCTCCTGTCTAAACGTCCGTACGGCCATCACGCTCGTGGTGTTCCTTTTTATCGGGCCACCTTCCAGCCAGCACGCCAGCCCATAAGTCGCTCTCGACGTGTCGGTTCGAATCACCATTTGTTTCGGCCTAGCTCGTAATTCGTTTGCGCCGGCTGGCGTCTGTCGACTGCGTCGGCTGTAAAAATGTCAAGTCGCGCGCGATGGGCAGATCGCCTATTTTTAACATTCATAAGCACGCGCGAGCGAGTCGGCGAGAGAGCGTTCAGGTGAAACGTGAAATCGAATTTATTCGGAATTTCTCGGAAATACAATAATCGTGTCTTTCGTCGGGAGAAAACACCCGCTGCCCGCGCCGGCGAGAGAGGGAGCAACCTCTTTGTCCACCTTGGATTCGCGAATCTTGCCGCGCTTCGTCGCGGTTCCGCGTCGACGAGGAAATGCCCAGCCGGAATATTCCAATAAATACTCGCGGCACATTCCTTGATGCGTTGATTAATTTAATAGCCACCATCGCTCTCTCCCTCTCTCTCTCTCTCTCTCTCTCTCTCTCCGTCTCTCTCTCTCTCCGTCTCTCGAGGCGGCCGACGCCGAAGAAAGGAAGAAGAAAGTCTCGTCTGTGATAAGAAAAAGCACGCTCGGCCGGGCCATAAATTCTGCGATTTCACAGCGGTATTCCTCCGCTACACGAAAAATCATCGGGCCGATATTCCGACGAATATTCGCCGTACCTCTTTATTATGACGATCAAGTCGTTCGCATCGTCGATGCGGTTCTCGGCCCGCGCGCCGTGCGCCGGACACGAGATAGGACGGCAGAAAACCTCGCGGCCGGCCCATCGCCGAAGCAGATCCACGCACGATCCGCATTCTCGAGGCTGCTGGCGCCATGCTACGGTGCGCGCATTTGGTATCTCGCGATTCTCGCCGGTAGCATCTGGCCGGTACAAAGCGGCCACTGCTCGAGACTTCGCGGCCGCGCGCACTGGCGCTTCTTCTTCTCTTTCTGGATCTCCGCGATCTCCGACGACGAGGACGATACGGACGACGACGGGGCGAGCCTTCTTCCGCGGCACGCCTCTCGTATGTGCTCGCGCAAGAAGGCTCTCGCAGCGTGCAATTATTTTCGCATAATTCCGATCGCCGGTCAGATTAAGACTGAGCGCCCTTTCGGCGCCGCATGCCGATCGCGGGTCCTTTCGGGAGGCGGCAGCGCGCCGAGCCCAGAAGGATCAGGAGCGCGAGAGCGCGACTCGAGCCGCGAGCAAAACCAAATTCCGGCCGAGCGGACGTGCGACTATGCTCCTCGCCCGCGGGGTCGTTTCTTTGCGCTGCGACCAAAGCGGCCCGGACGAGGTTATTTAATAAAGGCCTTGAGTCCTTTTTTTACATACATACGTCCTTCTCCGTTCCGTTGGTCAGAGCCGCGCCGGTCCGCTCGATTCGTCAATTTTCACGGCGCGTCCTCCGCCGCCATTTCTCCGCCAAATTTACGCGCTGCTCTCGCGTCTTCGTCACCTATATTGTCTACGAGGAAGAACCGCGCGGCACGAGAGCGATATTCCGTGCATCGGCCAAGCGGCGGCTTTCCCTTCTCCACGCCACGCTGCCAAGTGGAAACCCAACGCTCCGCCATGAGAAGAATTGTAAATTAATTTTGCCCGGCGCGTGTGCGTGAAAGCGACTGTCGCAGAAACGCCCATGGGCACTGGATATTAAGCGTCGTCTACAATGGCAGTAAGTACAGTAAGAAGTAAGCGTAAGCGGTAAGAAGTAAACCAATCACAGTCGATTATGACAAAAATAATCAACTGTGGTTGGTCCATTTCTTATTGTTCACGCTTACTTCTTACTGCCCTAGTAGCACACTTCATTGGCGTTACGTTGGTTTTACATCGGTTACGGTGACGTAAATTGGTTAGATATTAAATTGCGATATATTGCCAATATTGCATAGCATTGTTATACCAATATTGACTTACATTGGGGCTACATTGACCCAATGTATCCCAATATGCAACTAATATTGATCAGACATTAAATTACAATATATCGCCTATATTGCATAGCATTGTTATACCAATATTGACTTATATTGGGGCTACTTTGGCCTAGTGTATCCCAATATGCAGCCAATATTGGTTAGATATCAAATTACAAGATATCGCCAATATTGCATAGCATTGTTATACCAATATTGACTTACATTGGGGCTACATTGACCCAATGTATCCCAATATGCAACTAATATTGATCAGACATTAAATTACAATATATCGCCTATATTGCATAGCATTGTTATACCAATATTGACTTATATTGGGGCTACTTTGGCCTAGTGTATCCCAATATGCAGCCAATATTGGTTAGATATCAAATTACAAGATATCGCCAATATTGCATAGCATTGTTATACCAATATTGACTTACATTGGGGCTACATTGACCCAGTGTATACCAATATGCAACTAATATTGATTAGACATTAAATTACAATATATCGCCTATATTGCATAGTATTGTTATACCAATATTGACTTACATTGGGGCTACATTGACCCAATGTATACCAATATGCAACTAATATTGATTAGACATTAAATTACAATATATCGCCTATATTGCATAGTATTGTTATACCAATATTGACTTACATTGGGGTTACTTTGGCCCAGTGTATCCCAATATGCAGCCAATATTGGTTAGATATCAAATTACAAGATATCGCCAATATTGCATAGCATTGTTATACCAATATTGACTTACATTGGGGTTACTTTGGCCCAGTGTATACCAATATGCAACTAATATTGATTAGACATTAAATTACAATATATCGCCTATATTGCATAGTATTGTTATACCAATATTGACTTACATTGGGGCTACATTGACCCAATGTATACCAATATGCAACTAATATTGATTAGACATTAAATTACAATATATCGCCTATATTGCATAGTATTGTTATACCAATATTGACTTACATTGGGGTTACTTTGGCCCAGTGTATCCCAATATGCAGCCAATATTGGTTAGATATCAAATTACAAGATATCGCCAATATTGCATAGATTGTTATACCAATATTGACTTACATTGGGGTTACATTGGCCAATATTGGGGGCCCAATTGAGGGGAGCCGATATTGGCCCAACAATATGTGCTACTAGGGTGCTTACTGCCATTGTAGACGACGCTTCGATCCTCGCGTTCGAACGGCCACTCTTCCAGCCGACGCGCGACGTCGTCGGATGCATTGGCATCGCGCGTGCGTCGCGGGAATGCCCGTCCCGCGAGGAGCCCCGCGAATGTTTGCCATAACTTATGCGCGAGTCACGAGCCGCGGCCATGCCGAGTGTGCACGCACCGATCCGTCGGAGCACGGCACAGACCACGGCGAACGGTAATTGCACAACAGAATCACGCCGGCCGGCGCGTGTACGGCGAGCGTACGGAGGTGGCTCGCCCACCGACGCGATACGCGCGTTAGAACGCTACTTCTGTGTTCGCGGCTGCGTGCGGACGGTGTAGGTGTGTGATACGAGCTATCGTGATCGGAAATGAGTAAGGCTGTGTTTTCGTTCACACACGAAACAGGCTTCCCGCGGTCTCGGTGGTCTGTGCGCTCTCGGCTCGAAGCGTCGCTCGATTTCGCCGATGAGCGTAAACACGGTAAACGGTGAATTCTCGGAAAATATACCGATCTCATCCAGTGATGAGGGACCCAATCGGCCTTCACGGCAAGGGCCAGATACAGCGTCAAGTCGAATGAGTGGCTGGCGATGAGACACTTTTATCTCGATCCGTAGATCTTGTCTGAGACACTGCTCAATGCTTCGTGCACTTCCGCGAGGAAGCTGACGAACTGACGAATGTCGGACGTTTCTGCTTGCAGTCTGCATCGGTACCAATGGCCGCCTCTCCGTGCCCTCCAACAAACAGCATCACTACCGGAATCTTCGAGACCGGTACACCAACTGTACTTACGTCGATGGTAACCTGGAGATCACATGGCTCCAGAACAAAACCTTCGACCTCAGCTTCCTCCAGTACATACGGGAGGTCACCGGCTACGTCCTCATCAGTCACGTGGACGTGCACAGGATCGTCCTGCCGAGGCTGCAGATCATCCGTGGCAGGACCCTCTTCAAGCTCAATATTCACGACCACGAGTTTGCCCTGTTCGTTACAATGTGTCAGATGCACAACCTGGAGATGCCGGCCCTCAGAGGTAAAACGTCGTTCCCATTTTTTCCCTCTTGTTTCAGCTATCGCGCGCGCGCGCGCGCGTGCCTCGAATCTTTCGTCGGATAATAACAACTGATCGTATCAACTGATCGTATAACTAAAATTGCTGTATGAACATTTCACATCTCTCAGTAGATCATTAATATTGCTGTGTAGTGTGCCCGCGATATCTGATATTGGGTGATTAATATTGTTACATGAATATTGAACATTCGGTTAGATAAAGAGTGGAATTAACGATCGCTGCGTTGCGCTCAGTCGACGATTCCGATACGACCGCTTGAAAGAGGAATTCAGCAAAGTCCACTCTCAGGCGCGTCTAACTCACCTTGATTAATCACGCCGCAGACATACTCAACGGGAGCGTGGGCATGTACAACAACTACAACCTCTGCCACATCAAGACTATCAATTGGGAGGAAATAATTACCGGCCAAGGCGGCCGGTACTTCTACGTGTACAATTTCACATCGCCAGAACGCGTCTGTCCGGACTGCGACGCGAGCTGCGAGCAGGGCTGCTGGGGCGAGGGCCCGGAGAACTGTCAGAGGTACTCGAAGACGAACTGCTCGCCCCAATGCTGGCAGGGCAGATGTTTCGGTCCTAACCCGCGCGAGTGTTGCCATCTCTTTTGCGCCGGTGGCTGCACCGGTCCCAAACAGAGCGACTGTCTCGCCTGCAAGAACTTCTTCGACGACGGCGTGTGCACGCAGGAATGTCCGCCCATGCAAAAGTGAGCAGCAGCACTCTTACGTAGTATCTCTTTATTGCAAGATTACCATGAAAGATCCCACAATTCCATTATAGTGACTTTAAGTTTCTTCTGCACAAAGACCACCCTCTTCGTTCTATTCATAAAATTATCTATTTTTTTACTTTTAAAAGTCTCTCTCTCTCTTTCTCTCTCTCTTTTTCTCTTTCTCTTTCACTGATCAATATCAAAGCAACCGGAGTGTGAAAAGTGTGAAAAATTTCCTCATGCTCGAAATCGTTGGATGAAGTCGACGGAAAACACGAGATCTGAAAGCTGACGACTCTTTTAGGTACAATCCAACCACGTACTCCTGGGAGACAAACCCCGAGGGAAAATACGCTTACGGTGCGACTTGCGTGAGACGCTGTCCGGAACATCTTCTGAAGGACAACGGAGCGTGCGTGAGGTCCTGCCCGCCGAAGAAGAAGGCGGTGAACGGCGAGTGCGTGCCTTGCAACGGTCCTTGCCCGAAAACCTGCAAGGGCGTCGAGAAAGTGCATTCCGGTAACATCGACTCCTTCAAGGACTGCACCATCATCGAAGGCTCCATCACGATCCTGGACCAAAGCTTCCAAGGCTTCCAGCACGTGTTTTCCAATTACACCTTCGGCAAGCGATACGAGAAGATGCATCCGGATAAGCTCGAGGTGTTCAAAACGTTGAAGGAGATCACGGGCTTCCTGAACATCCAAGGGGATCATCTGGATTTCAAGAATCTCTCGTACTTTCGGAATCTCGAGGTTATCGGAGGCAGGGCGCTCACGGAATACTTCGCGTCGTTGTACATCGTCAAGACTTCCTTGGTGTCCTTCGAACTGAACTCCTTGAAGAAAATCCTCTCCGGTTCGATCGCCATTCTGGAGAATAAGAACCTGTGCTACGCGCAAAGCATCAACTGGACCAGGATCAAGAAATCGCCCGAGCATGAGTGTCTCTTGCAGAACAACCGAGACGAGAGCGACTGCAGTAAGTACTAAACGAGGATTCCCACTCGATGTTACTTAAACGTGCCATCGAGTTATCTTCAGGCTCGTATCTGAGAAATCATACGATGAATCGTTTCCCACTCGCAGTCAAGGACGGTTTCGTGTGCAACGAGGAGTGCTCGGACGAAGGATGCTGGGGACCAGGGCCGGCGCAGTGTTTGTCCTGCAAGAACGTCAAACTGGGGAACGACTGCCTTCAAGATTGCACCGCACCGGGGTGAGTTGTCAGGTGTACGAACTTAACGAAAACGAAAATAAAAGCTGAACTTTCTGCAATAACGCATACGACTTCTGTCCAATCGAAATCGCTCTCCTAGATCGTGGATCAAAGGTAAATCGAAAATCTCCCGCGAGAGCTTAAGCGTCGATCTTCATCGTTCTATTTATCACATCTTCATCCATCTCGTAAGCAAGCTACATCTGTGTGTTGTCCACGCAGCACGTGCGCTTCCATCGCTTAATTAATCGCTTCGAATCCCACTTTTGTCAATCCCTCATTGCTAACGCGAATGGCGAAGCACATGAACACGTTAATCATACCCGAGTAATCGCCCACCCGCGCCACGTTCATCCTGCCATCCTCCTGGTCTCCTGGTTGAGTTTCTGCATCCTTCTCTATACTTCCTTTTGTTTCGCGCCGCTTCAACTGTCTCACGTAAGCGCTCGATTTTACGTAAATATGCTAACATTGTTACGTCACGACACACCGGTGACGATAACGATTAACGACCGATCGCGGTTGTGTTGCCAGCATTTATCGAGCGGACGAGAAAACCTGCAAGACGTGTCACGTGGAGTGCGACGGCTCCTGCACGGGTCCTAATGCCGAGCAGTGCACCAAGTGCAAACACGTGCGCGACGGGCCGTTCTGCGTGCCTGAGTGCCCGTCCTCCAAGTACAACGACAGCGGCGAGTGCAAACACTGCCACCAGAACTGCGTGGGCGGTTGCGAGGGACCGGAGAACAACATAGGCGCCAACGGATGTCATAGTTGCGAAAAGGCAATTATGAACGGACACGTACCGGAGGGATGTTTGCAGAAGATAGAGTCGTGCCCCGATGGTAAGTCATACGGACGATCTTTCCTTTGCGACGGTTCTTCGATGCGACGTGTCTCGGCATTTCGTAACGCAGAAAGAAGATCGCAATAGCTGCTATAATATAATATAATAATGGAAGGCCGATTGTTCGCACGACGATATCGACGAGAAAGAGAAAGAAAGACTTGCTGCGTCGTCTCGTTGGATCGTCAAGCGAAATTCCCGGAAGAAATCTTTTGATGATCATACGACGACCTTTGACGGTTCTTCCGATGACGTGTTTCGACTTCACATTTTACCTGCATAAAAAAATTCAAGGCCGACTAGAGACGTTGTTCGCACGACACCGACGAAGGAGTTGTCGCGTTGTCTCGTGAAGCAAAACTCCCGAAGAGCATTGGGTGACGTCTCGCTGTTAAAATTCGCAGGACATTATTACGAGTGGGTGAGCCCGTTGGAGCAAGGTGCTTTAAGACCTCTCGCGGGAAAGGCGGTCTGTCGCAAGTGCCACCCACGTTGTAAGAAGTGCACAGGATACGGCTTCCATGAGCAGGTGTGTCAACAGTGTACCAAATACAAGAGGGGAGAGCAATGCGAAGACGAGTGTTCCGCCGATCATTTCGCGGATGCTGACACGCAGCTATGCATACCGTGCTTCGGAGAGTGCCGAGGGTGCTTCGGGCCGGGCCCGAATCAGTGCTACAAGTGTCGGAACTACAAAATTTACATCGTACGTATAGAACAATACGACAGTTCATTTGTTATCTTATCACGTGTATACAGGCTAAGACACAGGCTGAGAAACAGGTCTTTTGAGTAACTTTGAAAACAAGCAAGACAGAGAAAAATATTACATACAGGAATTGTGGAGTTTTAAGTGACGCGTCACATAGCAATACTAATAGGACCTTGAACAGCGCCGTATTAGTACATGATGATTTTGAAATTTCCAAAGGCCATCAAGTAACAAAAGTTAGGACGCTACTGTAACCGCATATTCTTCCGACAAATAGTTAGCGAGATATCATAAGACAAATATTTAAAAAGTTACCAAGTTGTCCTTAAACATCTCATAAAATATTAGGCAAGTGAAAAAATGTTTTAGACAAAAACGTTTTGTTCAAATTAATTGGTGGGAAAAAATGATATAATAAAAAATAAGGGTTTGCGTATAAAAAATTCAAGGTGACCCTCCCGAACCTTGGTGACGCTGTTCAAAGTCATACTAGTGTCGTTATGTAATGCGTCACTTAAAACCCTACACCTTCTGTATTTAACATCTTTTTTATTTATCTTGCATATTTTCAAAATTATTCGGTTGGCCTCTTTTAGGTATAGGCCCTGTATATAGACGGTGCTACGTAAACCCGGTAAGAAGCAATTAACAGTAACATTATCAACAGCAGCATTACATCTCACTATTGTAATTCTCCATTCAACGATCCCACTGTCGCTCGCGACATAGTATATCGCGCTTACATCGTTGAGTGATGAATTGTAACGTTAATGTGATGTTTACTGAAGACAGAAACTATTGCACTTACGATCCCTCATTCTCCAGTCACAAGCCGCGAGTAAATTGGACAAAAACCACAGAAAACTAAGAAATCTGCATTGATTGGTGTGTTTTAGGATGGCGATCCCGGCGACAATTCGACGTCCTTCAACTGCACGGAGACCTGCCCGTCGGAGTACCCTCACAAGATCTTCCCGCCGGACAACGAGCCGTACTGTTCGATGGAGATGATAGGCCTCGGCTTCCAAATGGATAACGAGCTTCAACCCGCCATTCTGGTCGGAGTGTTACTCTTCACGTTGGTGTTCATCGTCGTCGTAATTGTGATAATATACTTCTGGCGGATGAGGACCAAGGCCAAAGAAAACACGGTGAAGATGACGATGGCATTGACCGGTTTAGACGACAACGAGCCGCTTCGGCCGACCGGCGTGAAGCCGAATTTGGCGAAGCTGCGCATCATCAAGGAGGAGGAGATGAGGAAGGGCGGTATACTGGGCTTCGGTGCTTTCGGCAACGTGTACAAAGGCGTATGGGTGCCAGAAGGGGAGAACGTGAAGATCCCGGTAGCCATAAAAGTTCTACACGACGGCACGGGTGCGAACACGTCCAAGGAGTTCCTCGACGAGGCTTACATCATGGCCAGCGTCGAGCATCCGAACCTGCTGCAGCTGCTGGCGGTGTGCATGACGTCGCAGATGATGCTGGTGACTCAGCTGATGCCTCTGGGCTGTCTGCTCGATTTCGTGCGCAGATTCAAGGACAAGATTGGCTCGAAAGCGCTACTGAACTGGTGCACGCAGATCGCGAAGGGTATGGCGTATCTGGAGGAGAGAAGGTTAGTCCACCGTGACCTGGCAGCGCGGAATGTCCTCGTACAGACGCCAAATTGCGTGAAGATCACCGACTTCGGGCTCGCTAAACTTTTGGACATCAACGAGGAGCAGTATAAAGCCGCGGGTGGCAAGATGCCCATCAAGTGGTTGGCGTTGGAATGCATTCAACACCGAGTCTTCACTCACAAGTCGGACGTGTGGGCCTTTGGTGTAACTATCTGGGAGGTTCTCACTTACGGCGGCAGACCCTATGAGAACGTCCCAGCTCGGAACGTGCCGGAGCTGCTGGAGAAGGGCGAGAGGCTGCCACAGCCTAAGATCTGCACGATCGACGTGTACATGATCATGATCAAGTGCTGGATGCTCGACGCCGAGTCCAGACCGAGCTTCAAGGAACTCGCGGAAGATTTTGCGAAGATGTCCAGGGACCCCGGCCGATATCTCGCCATTATAGGTGACAAGTACATGAGGCTACCCTCGTATACGCCGCAGGTAATTCGCGTTTATTCAATTATTATCAGGCCTTTGATTAAAATCAAGAAATATTAAAAAATATCAAGCAAGTGAAAATGCAAATTTTCACTTTGGCTCTTATTGTCCGTTGTTTTACATACTTTTTCAATTGTGTTAACCTAACGAGACCCTCGGAAGATATGGTCTTTGCTATTGAGAATTTTGATTTTAAGAGAATTGTAATTATTTAATCATTATATGATTATTGCACGCTGATATCGAAATGTTCAGGACGAGAAGGAGATGATACGAAACCTCGCGTCAGCGATGGACGGTCCGGAAGCTCTGGTGGACGCCGACGAGTATCTGCAGCCCAAGTCGCGGGCCCCGATTCCGCCCACGATTTCCGCGTCGAGTACTTCCGGCTCGCCGCCAAACACGCCGATGAAGTCGTGTTGGCCGAACGGCAAGCCGCTCGCCGCTGACTCTCCGACGCCGCAGAACCAGCAGAACTGGGATCGGGAGCTTCTGAGATATGGCGGAACTCACGGGAACGGTAGCGCGTCGCATGAGGCGGGAAACTCCGGCCAACACGCGCATTACGCGCATCCCAAAGCTCACTGCACTCACGTCGGCGGGTCCGACAGCTCGAGCTCGAGATACTGCTCGGACCCGTTGAAGATGGTCGGCGTTAGAGGTAAATTGATGCTTGAAAACCGTCGAAGATTCTTCGTGAGAACCCCCCGTTTGTCTGTCATGTTGTAAATCGCGCAAGAGTATCGACGTCGAATTCAATCGGTGATCGGCTTGATTTTAGACTGCGACGTGACGGACGACTGTTTCGACACCGAGGTGAACTCCGTGCATCAGCAGGCTCAAGTAGGGAACCTGAAGTTGGACTTGCCGCTGGATGAGGACGACTATCTCATGCCGTCGCCGCAATTGCCAGCCAACACCACGCAGTACATGGATCTCATCGGGGAATCTAAACCAACGGGTGAGCGAACAGAGGAATCTGTCACTCAGTTGTTTATTTCCTTCCCGATTTTGCGATTACGACATAAATCGTTTTGTCGTTTATCATTTATCGCACGCGTGATCATTTTTGTATCTCGTCTTGCAGAACCCGAACCGAAACGGTTGAACAACGGCTTCAGGAAGTATCCGGACTTCCTCACGATCCAAGGGAAGATGTCGCTGGACAATCCAGAGTACATAATGTCTCAAGACGAGGGCCCGCTCACGCCGCAGACCCTGGGTATCCCTACGCCGGACTTGGAGAAGGTGCTGACGAACGGCACGTTCGGATCTCAAGTTAGGCAGCGTAGTTCCGAGGAGGAGTCGGATCACGAATATTACAACGATTTCGACCGGCTGGAGCGGGAATTGCAGCCGTTGAAGCCACTCAGGAAAAACGAGACAACAGTGTGATCCCAGGGGGACACGCATATGGAGTATGCGAAATGAGCTGACGATTTTTCTCTTCCATGATATTCCACCAGGAAGGATTCCGCTCCCGTGAAAATCCACTTTGCCGGGGAAGTGGACAGCGGTGGGTCGAATGATCCTAAGAGGAAATGGCAGCGCAGACGAGCGTTGGAAAACTCGCGGACCCCGAGTTAATCTCGCTTTCCGAAGAGGAGGAGGACCTACTGTACTTAGAAAAGACGCTTCGCTCAAGTGCCGCGCTTAATTGTGATTAGATTACCTAAGCTAGAGAGACTCGTGCGTATTGCGTGATATAAATAAGACGAGAAAAAGAGACTATATATATACGTGGACGCGCCGGAAATCGCGGGGGTCGCGCGACAGCGATGCCCACGAGCAAGTAGTGCAAACATATTCTTAATGTGCCATTCGCCGTGGCTTGTAAATAGATTACTCTTTTCGTAGTAGCTTTCTCGAGGGCGTGAAGAACATCCTAGGACTTAATTCGCAACGACGGCGTCCGAGATCGTCTCCGCTTTAGTAGCTTCTCTTCGGGACCAATTCTCGCTACTTCGCAAACCACCCATGTGGTTGCTGTTGAAACTTCAGTGATGTGAGAATTGAGCGGGATATTTGAAGTGTCACGGGAGAGATCGTTCAGAAGATATTTCTTACTTGTATCTCTTTTTAATTCCGTCACTTTTCCTCAACGTACACTCTAACGAATACACTGATTACGGCTTATATTGTTGAGCTCTTTCGTAATGAATATGGAAAATAAATATATCGTCTACCAAACGTGTTTGTGCGATACTGTGGAAAAAAATTTGAATCACTTTTGAATGTTATATTTTAATCCTTACTATAATTATTATTTTATATGACATATTTTAGACACGTTATTTAATTAGAATGTTTTATTAATATTTTATATAAACTTTATCGAAAGAGTTGAGCAATGCACAGCAATCCGTAAAGATGTTTTAGCGTGGCAATTATAAAATGTTCCGCTTATAAAATGATGATCGTTAATTCATCTCGTTTCAAAGACCGGTTAGCAAACAGCATCGTTGATTAACACGTTGACTGCCAACTACGAGATATCTCGTAGGTTGTTTACTTGCCCAGGACGCCTAACTACGAGTTATCTCGTCCCTTCATTACTTGCCATATTTGTACAGCTACGAGGAAACTCGTAGCATAACAGTTTAAATATGAATAGATGGCCTCAGGAAAGAGAAAAAAAATGTTTTAAAAAAAAAACATTTTTTAAGCTTTTTGATTATTACTATGTACTATTATTAAAGTTTTTAATAATATAACATGATTAAATCAAATTGGCTCTTTAGACCGGAATCCGTGAAAAATTCCGTGGCAGTCAACGTGTTAATTAAATTGAGGAACTCCCTCGTTTCATTCTTGACTTGGCTGTCTCTGAGAGACTGTAATCAAGAATGATCGATGTTAGTGAGACGTTTGTGCCGCATATCGCTGAATGCGATGCAAATTACTTGAATTTCTCCTCCGAGAGATCAAATATCTCGCGGCAACAGCATCTTCCTTGTCCCCTCCACATCCTCCCATCCTTCCATCCTTCCTTCCTTCCCGCAGCAAGTTACGACAGCGGAGCGTGCATTGTCCTACTTTACTGCCGAGAATAAATTCGTCTCGCGTCGAAAGTCGATCGAGACGCGAGCGAACGCGATTCTACTTAAAGTACAGGGGAGAACAAAGAAATTCGACGGCGCTTTTCCCTCCTCGTACGCCATCGTTCTCGCGATGCGGGGTCCACGAGATTGACCCCGGGCTGGGAAACGCAAGAGATTCCGATTTTTATATACGAAACGCGATTTTTGTACATAGTTTACCGAGTAATGTAATAAACGGAAAGAAAAGAACCATGTGTAGTGCGAGCAGAAAGACGGAGAGTACTTGAACGAAATCAATCACACGTCGTCGTGTGACATCGGCGACTCGCGACAAGTAATAATACGATAGGACGTGCCATGTTGTACAGGTGAATTAAAGAGGAAAAGAAACAGAAAAGAACGAGAGGAAACGTAACAAATACACGCGTGAGGGAGTAACTCTTTTTTCGACGGAAAACGAATCTGCATTGTATACTTCAGGAATTCTTCACTGGAACTCGGTTCCACGGGTCTTGCATTTGCTGTAGATGAGCGCGGACGCGCGCGAGACTGACGATCTCATCTCCGGAGAAATAAAAATTGACATGTCACGCGACCGAAACGACCAGCGTCATTTCGTCCACAGTTGCCCGGCGAATGACGCCGGTCGTCGACGCTCCACGATCTCTCGCATCAGCCTGAAATTATCGCGATCGCGTTCTGTGATAATAATAATGAAACACGAAATCGTCAGCAATTGCGAAGATTGTCCCGACGGTCGTTCCGCGCGCGAGGAACGAAACTGTCTGCGCAGGTCGTCCAGTCTCGCTGTGCGCCGCACAGTGGCGGGGTCTTGTCCGTAACGATGTAAACTGATACGTATTGTGTATATCACGCGCGTTAAATGTTACTAATTATTATTAATATTATTATTGTCATTGTAACAGATCGGTTTTGTAACATATCGTTTGACTGCGTCGCGCGTCGCGCGAGGACAGACGCGTGTTTCTTCCGAAGCGAATGATGAAAATGTTCTTTCTCTCTTTCTCTTTCTCTCTTTCTCTCTCTCTCTCTCTCTCTCTCTCTCTCTCTCTCTCTCTCTCTCTCTCTCTCTCTCTCTCTCTTTCTCTCTCTCCATTCTCATCATTCTCGCACATTTGGTCTCACGTGTGTAAATCGTATTGTAATTAAGCGCAAACCAACTAGGAATTGTACATTGTAACCGAACGAACCGATACAAAAGAAACGTTATGTATTCGCGAGAAATTGCATTTGCCATTCGGTTGTGGACATAGAACTTATAGATCTTTATTGTATCATTATATATAAATAGATTATATATATATATATACTTCGTAAAAATTTATTGTAATAAAGTACAATCATTCCCACTGATTGTCTGTGTGTCGTTTCACTCGCGCCTAAGTATCTCGGTAACGTCTTTTCGAATACACATGAGTGCGCATCATCGTTGCACATTTGCAGATTGAAGATCCATGCACAAGGAAGAAGAACGTCGCGGTTTGTTAACTGTTTTTCTCGATTGCTTCCGAGAACCAATTATCGTGGCAACAACGCCTTCCTTGTTCCCTCGCATTCTTCCTTTTTTCCTTCCCGCAGTAGACTACGACAGCGGAGCGTGCATTGTCCTACTTTAGGCGAACTTTACTTAGGCAAACGCGATTCTACTTGAAGTGCAAAGGAGAACAAAAAAATTCGACAACGTTTTTCCTGTCTTCATTCTTCGCTATCGTCCTCACGACAGCGAATCAATGAGATAACGCGCGATATGAAAAACGCTTATTATGTAATGCTTAAATGTAACAAGAGTTTGCATCTACAATTATTATTTCAAAACGTCCTTCGCGTCGCACTTATTAACGTTTAAAAAAAGTTTAAAGAAACGGCAACGTTTGAGTTACTTCAATTTGAGAAAGTCAGTGACTGAGACAAAGTGAGACAGCGTAGCGGCAGGAGTGTAGAGTTCACGGAATTGCATGATGTTGCTGTGATACTACATCTCTAAATACGCAGTTCACGTTGTGCTTCCAGCCAGTCACTCGCGATTAATCGCGCGACGCGGGTCTGTGAATGAGATATTTTTAGCGCGAGGTGCTGCTCCGTTGGTGGTTTCCTCACGCGGTGACGGATAAGAAGACAAGCGGCACGTAGTTTAACAGAAGACGCGAAGCCAGATTAAGTCGAACTCGGCGATTCGATAGTCTTTTTGATAATCTTCAGGTACATAACTTGCCGAGACAACGCGTACTTGGTAATTACAATCGTCATCGCGGGTAATGCATACAGATAAGTTACATGTCAATTACGTCAGCGCCCAATCATATCTTTGATCAGCCTAATTGCTGCTTCTTTTCAACATGGATGATATGAACTAAAAGTACAGATGAGAGAAAAAGACGTCTGTACAACAGTCGATCGAGCGCTAGTTGCATTGCGCTATCTTGTATTAAACGTTACACTGCTAAACGTGGCATCGCTGTGATAACGATTCAAGTTGTTTTATTCAATATTTAATCCTGGTTACATCAGTCGTAATTAAGAATAAATATAAAATCTGTCCAGATTATAATTTTTCTTTTTACATTTTGATATAAGCTGCACGAAAAATCAGGTAATTCGAGCAGTCGACATGGACATCGTTCAAGATCCGTATCTGAGACACCTGTTTGATGGCGATCCGGTGTTCAATGTTTACAATCAGGAAGCCACGAACTTGTCGGTTGGCGCACCTGGCCCGGATCTATTAAAACATTGTGTGGAAATGTTGAATAAATCTACAACGCATAGATTAGTAAGATCGATTGTGTTTCCGAAAACCATGAGTTTCTTTTGCGAATGTATTACCTAACACGTGATAATTTTCAAGTAATATATTAACTTCAAAGAATTTAAATGTATTAAAATGTAATAAAATCATTAACGTAACGTTAATCGAAATAATTACGTCTGAAATAAACTCGAAATTGGAATGTAATAACGATGTAAAAAATTTAAGTAATTAAGTTGAATAATTAAGATTCCATCGCTGACATTCGTGGAACATCTCGCGAGGTGTTCTTTGAAAAATATTCGTCGACGGTATGCGATGTGAATTACATTAAAGTTATATTAAATATCAACTTAGGAAGAAGAAAAGAAGGGAAAAAAGTATTATCTCTTTCAATACGGCGCCACAGCTGGTCTCTGGGAGTGCCGCGATGAATTAGCCAAGTTTTTAAGTAGACGATACGGTAACACGGTAATGAGAGAACACCTGATATTGACGTGCGGGGCATCGCATGGTCTTCAACTTTTGTTGAATACCGTGCTCTCGCCGAACGGTATTATCTTCGTGGAGGAAGTTACGTACATGATCGCGCTTGATGTTTTCAAGCAGTTTCCATTAATGAGGGTAATCACAGGTATTGACACGCTATCACGATTTATCCTCAAAACACGAATAATAATATTTAAATATTATTGTTCAAACTTATAGAAATGAGCTTATTGCTAAATACATTGATTGCGATACGGGGACAGATTCATCATATCTAATCTAATTATATGATTGTGAGAATCTTAAAGAAAAATTTCATCGTAAACAGCGTCTGTCTGAAGATGCGTAAACAAAGTAATCAATCGCTGCATTGTTATCAAGCATTTCTTTTAGTGCCTATGCAGGATGGCGTGGTAAACCTGGATGCATTCGAAAAGATAGTAATTGAAGAGAGAGCAAAGGGCAATTTTTTTCTTAACGATCAAAAGATATTCTGGGCGATGTTCTATACGATACCGATTTTTCATAATCCAACCGGAATGACGTTATCATCCGGTAAATATAAAAATTGATAAAGCTCAAATAATATAAGATACCTTAATATCTCTTTCATGTTAAAAAATGGTTTTATTTCTCGGCAGATCAATGCAAGCGCTTAGTGGAGATTGCACAAAACAATTCTATATTGGTAACCTGCGACGATGTGTACAATTTACTTTATTACGGACAAGGACTTCCGCCATTACGCTTGATCTCTTACGACAATCCTCAGGATCCAAATTACAGAGGCGGGAACGTCGTGTCGAACTGCTCGTTTTCCAAAATCTTTTCGCCAGCGATTCGTTTTGGATGGCTTGAATGCAGCCCGCGTGTTGTTAACATTATAAAAACATGGTGAGTCCAGCAAGACTCTTATAAAAATTACGCATCATTGAGGTTACATACTGATAAAGATTCTACTGATTTTTATATATATAATTATGTTCATTTAATTACCTGTTACAATTTTTTAGCGGTATACTATGCAGCGGTGGTGGAGTAAATCATTATGTTTCCGGTATAATTACGAGCATGCTTCATGAGAATATCGAAGACGAATATCTCAATAAAATCATAGAGATCTATAGAGTACGTTTTACATTATTCTTCCAGGATATAAAAATATTTTAAACTGGAAAAATAAACATATAGAAAATAGTGAGATAATTATATCTTAAACGTTTTTTTAATACGTGATTATGAAAAAAAGGAAGGCATTCGTAAAATTTAATAATTACTGATTTTGTTGTTAACTTTAATGACTATCAAATTCGTAGGAGCGATTAAATGCACTTTGCGCAACTTTAGATCGATTTCTGCCAAAATGTTGTTCATATCGGCGTCCTGGAGGTGGTTATTTCGTTTGGATTAATCTTCCTTTAGGTATAACAAATTATTTAATAATAATTATTTAATAATAATTATGAATTATTCACAGATATTTGTAAGAGCCAGTTATCTGAAAAAGGAAAATATACAATTACAAAACACAATCATAAAATAACATACAATATTTCGGAATTATCTATCGATCGTATTTTTATATATAATTGTATTAATATCTACTTTTATTTTTCTTAAAGACGTGGACGGTACAAAATTCATCAAATGGTGTCAAAAGGAATATAAAGTATCAGCGATACCAGGTGCTCGATTCTCGCACACAAATGAAGCAAAGAATTATTTACGTATAAGCATAGGCTTTCACACAAAGGAAGTTTTGGAAACTGCAACGCAAACTTTGTGCAAAGCACTTTTAACATACATCAGACAAAAGATTGACTAACAATTCTAAATGAATATAATTTGATAAAATCGAGATAAAGATGGATATGTATAATATTGTCTTTTAATAGGTAGAAGTACCTATTAAAGTAGAAGAAAAAGTTACAATTGCAAATATAAGTTATATAAATGATAAATGTCACAAATAAAATATCAATTTTAGCAAACTAAATAAATTAAGAAGACCAACTTAATATTTTCTTTCTTTATTGTTATATACTATATACTATATAATTAAGTAATCTGTATATTATTTATATACAAGTATAATAACAAAATGCATAATTTACCTGAGGATATTACAATTCATAAAATATTAGCCTTATTCAGATTCACCCAATAATTCTTTCTGTTTGGTTTCCAACAGTTGTTCAGCTTTACTTATATATTGCTGACTTAGAGCATCTATATAACCTTCTATCTTGAACACCAAGTCTTTGGCTAAACTTTCTTCTCGTTTGAGAGATTTAATTTGTTTGTTGCGTATATCTCTAACATTATCACAACATTTCACATAAAAGCCTTTTGCATTTTTGGACAATGTTTCTCGGTGTTCCTTTGTTACTCTGTTAATGCAGAAATCAACATCATTAATTTTTGATAGTACTGAAAGTTTTGTTCATCCCATAAGACAATATTCTAAATCTTACTTAGGAATAGGGACATAAACTGTAGTTCCATCCTGTTGTGGATTTAGGTTCATCTGATTTTTTGACAGACTGTTAAGAATATTTGGAATAGCTTGTGGAAAAGTGGATATATTCAATACTATGAGTTTAGGTTTACGACTAATCTGAGCAAGCTCCTGCAATGTGTAATCTTTATCTTCAAATCTCACAACCAACTCCTCTAGAGCACCCACACTTGATCTTATCGACAAATACTTGACAAAATTATTTTTCAAACCTTCAATAGCCTTGTCAAGTTGAGATGTTAACTTATTAACATCGATAACTTCTTCCATCTCATTGAAATCAATATGCTGCACCTTTTGCTTTTTCTTATCTTTACCACGATCCTTGGCTTTTGCCAATGTATAGGTTATAGAGAAAAATCTGTTATTTAGTTTGGTACAAGTAGATGGTGAATAATTTGAAATATCATGATAATAAAGTGCATTCAAACACTTTTGTTGGCTCTTGGAATAACACATTTCCCAATTTAATAAAAAATGACAGTAATAACTTTTCATCACTCTTACTGACATTACTGTGTAGTTTTTTAATACAGTATTAGCACAAAATCGCATTCCTATCATACTTCCCATTTTTTTAGTATATGCTGCTCAGGATAAACAATATTATGACAATATTATATTAAAATATTAAAAGATGTCAAATACACTGCAACGTTTATTTAATAATTTTTATAATTATATTTAATTTATACAGATTATTATATATATATTACAGCTTTTTTCAGCCTAAGAGGTTAGAATTCCTCATATAGCTATAACCTATCATAATTCAAATAAACTTCTCAAGCGCGAGTACCAGAAAATTTAGACTGCGTTCCACATCCGTTTCACGCATTATGCGCGTATTTTCTACAATATATGTAACATGAACTATATATAAATGCGTGCATATGCGTGAAACGGAACGCGGCCCTAATGTATATGTGTGTGTGTGTGTGATGTGTAATGTATAAGAATGTAACAAGATTCAACGGATTGTACTTCTACAAAAGTGATATTATATGATATGATATTAAAGTAAACTAAAAGGCATTTTATAACTTGTAACCTCCAGTTTTCATTTATATTTCTGAATATGAGATTTATTTGCTTTTTTCAATTGGTCTGTTCTTTTCTTCTGCACCGCTGCACTAGTGCAATAAATTAAAGTGAGACAAATATATATTTACAAATATATATTACACTCGAACTTATTGCACTAGTGCAGCGGTGCAGAGGAAAAGAACAGACCTAATAAAGCCAGCGGCACACGATGCTCGTTTTCGTGCTGAATTGCTTGCTGGATGAAAGTACTGCGTTCTGATTGGTGCATTTCCATCCATCTTCGGAAATGTACCAATCAGAACGCAATATTTTCATCCAGCAAGCAATCCAGCACGAAAACAAGCACCGTGTGCCGCTGGCTTTACTTGCTCGGAAATATTTACGAAACATGTAGCATGTGAGACGTTGATTGACTAGCGCAATATTCTCTAGCCAACTTCCACCGCGCGGCAAGCGTTGTCGCGTTCTGTATGCAACCTAGGCTGCGTTCCGAAATTCACTGCCAGTACTGAAAATACATAGTTTGTGTCATGTATATTATAGATTTTCAGTACTGGCATTGAATTTCGGAACGCAGCCCTAGTCTGTTCTTTTTAGCCGCATTGCTGAATTAGTGCAATAAATTAAAATGAGACAACTATATTTTATCTCACTCTAAAGCCAGTGGCACACGGTCTTGTTTTCGTGCTGGATTGCTTGTTGGATGAAAATATTGCGTTGTGATTGGTATATTTCCGAAGATGGATGGAAATGCACCAATCAGAACGCAGTATTTTCATCCAGCAAGCAATCCAGCATGAAAACAAGCACTGTGTGCCGCTGGCTTAAAGCTAAAACTCCATGCATGCGGTGAGCTGCGGCAAATGCTGCTATGACCAATCAGGAGGGAGGCGCAAGTCCGCTTGCGGCAAGCTCCGGCATACGTTTGTCTCCTGATTGGTCACCGCAGCCGTTTGCCGGAGCTCACCGCATACATGGAGTCTTAGCTTTACTTATTGCACCAGTTCAGCAGTGCAGCTAAAAAAACAGACCACTAGTTACATACTAAAGTGGAAGTATAGAGTTGGTAGAAGCTGCAAACGCGTGTATCTGCGAGTCTTTTTAGATTTAGTATCCAAGATGGTAAGTGTATGCCTTGATTTGTTAAATAGGAAATTTAGAATAAATCTTAATCTATATATTTTTGTTTCTAGAAAAAGTCTAAGTTTTCAGAAAAAGAAATATTTCTTAAATAATATTTGACACGTACTGAATGCGAGAATTTTAAGTATTGTATCATTCCGAGGTTCTTTTTGTAGGCTCGTGGCCCGAAGAAGCATCTTAAGCGTCTTAACGCGCCGAAAGCATGGATGTTAGACAAATTGGGTGGTGTTTACGCACCTAGGCCATCCACTGGCCCTCATAAACTGAGAGAATCACTTCCGTTGGTCATCTTCCTTCGTAATAGATTGAAATACGCTTTGACCAATTGTGAGGTTACTAAGATCCTGATGCAGCGTTTGATTAAGGTTGACGGGAAAATCCGCACCGACCCCAACTATCCTGCTGGTTTTATGGGTAAGTTTCCGCTATATTATATATTTTTCCAGTATATCTTGCGCTTATATACTATGAAAAGTTTATTTGGAACAGGCCATATCGAAGCTGTGATATTTTATTTACAAAAGTATCATAGTCAAAACTGGCCAATAATAAATCATGTTCTTCATTTACGGTCACAGATTGAGTCACATATTCTTTCTGTATTACCTAGGAAGTGCACAAGAATATTATAATATATTTATGTCACAGTGTAAAAAATAGAATAATACTCACAATTGCAATTGATTTGCTTCAGATGTTATTACAATTGAGAAAACTGGCGAATTTTTCCGATTGATTTATGATGTAAAGGGTCGCTTCACCATTCATCGTATCACTGCAGAAGAAGCAAAGGTATCATTTGGTATATTTCCTTGTATAATAAGATTATTGCTTTATATTTTTATATTAATATTGCTTAATATTTTGTTTGCAGTATAAATTGTGCAAAGTCAGACGTGTGCAGACTGGTCCCAAAGGTATTCCTTTCCTGGTAACGCACGATGGCAGAACTATTCGTTATCCTGATCCTCTAATAAAGGTCAATGATACTATCCACTTGGATATTGCCAGTGGCAAAATCTTAGACTCCATCAGATTTGATTCTGGCAATTTGTGCATGATTACCAGTGGAAGAAATTTGGGTCGTGTTGGTACTGTTGTCAGCCGTGAACGTCATCCTGGTTCCTTTGATATCTGTCATGTTAAAGATGCTCAGGGGCATACCTTTGCTACAAGGTATATGCAATTAGAATTACACTATGAGAATATATTTACTGTGAGAATCACTTTCAGTGGTTTGTGTTGTATCTTATCTGTATTGTGTATCTATATCTTATCTACTTATATTGTGTTGTCTACTTAATAATGCAAGTTATTGGTTTACCAGGTTGAATAATGTCTTCATCATTGGTAAAGGCACAAAGGCATATGTAAGCTTACCAAGAGACAAGGGTGTGAAGCTGTCTATTGCTGAAGAACGCGATAGAAGACTTGCAGCAAAAGGAGTAAATTAATGTATATACATTTTCCAGAAAAGATGCAATAAATTGAAGTTGCACAACAATGTCTATCAATCATATTTTATATGAATATATTCTTATGTATTTAGCATAAGATTAATATATATGTTAGAATGTGGAGATACGAATGTACATAATGTAATATAGTATATCTGAATCCGGATAGCATTTTTAACTCGCAAAAATTACAAATGTATCGTGTGCCAAGTGGCAATTTACCACTGACACGAGAGGAAAAAGTACAATCAGCTTGATATGGAATCGCTATAAAGTGATTGTAGATGGCGGTAGTAATCATTCACAGAAATTTAGGCCCAGTTCCACAACTTGCTTTAAACGGAGTTTAAAGCTAAACGAATGGTTAAAAGCAATAGTATATGCGCATATACTATTGCTTTTAACCATTGGTTTAGCTTTAAACTCCGTTTAAAGCAAGTTGTGGAACTGGGCCTTAATAGTGAACTGTGTCGACACAGAGGATTAATCGAACTTCAGGATCGAGAACGTGAAACATCGAGAAGTTTGTCGACAAAAGAAAAAGTAATTATTTCGTCAATCGATCATCATTCATATAACTGTTTCCGGCGGTGGCGTTGGTGAAGCCGTTCTATTAGACGCCTGGAACTAAGATTGAGAGAGAAGAGAGAGAGAGAGATTGTTTCCGGCCGTGGGAATGGCACGGTGATGATGATAAAAGTTTGATCTCGTCGTTGATTTATGTAGAATTTCGTTGGAAATCACCGACGAGCATCCGCAGATCATCTCACCAGAACATGTGTGTCCACCGTGCGTCCACTCGCAGCGCTGGAAGATCGTGATTCAGCGACCAAGCGACTTAAGCATGAGCAGCGACGTGTTAGCCTCTTGACACTTGGAGCAACATAAATAAGAGGTAATAGTCGGCGAGTCCAAACTGCGCCCGTTACCGTTGTCGATCGCTCGTTTGCACCCGGACAACCTTAAGTTTGTCTGCAAATGTGATTCTCATCAAGATGTCGAAGAACGCACACTGGCGTGTCTTCACGTGCATCCCGCATCGCGCGGATTACGTCACTGTGCTACGTGTTCAATGAAGTCGATGCGTCTGTTACATTTAGGTACTTTCAGATACTTCACAGCTCACGCTATATTCGTACTGTGCGATTTTATTGAAGTCTACGTTATTTAGCTTCAATATCTTTAAGACCCACATTTTTAAATCTACTTGACCGTATGACACTCAATGACAGTTCAAAAGTTTACAATTTTATGTCCTAAAATTATGCTATTCTTTCTTATTGCTATTTTCTTCGTATAAAGATATAATTAGAAAATTGTTTGACCTCAAAAATAATGGACACAGAGAAGTCTTCTATGATATAACACTCAATTTACTTATATTTATTTGGAAATCACAGTTAAAATTAATACCAGAGAAAGATGAGAAAGGAGTTAAACGTAGAGGAAAGATACATAATACTTGGTGTTGTTTACACTGAATATCGTGTGGAAGTGACCAGGAATGTGGAAAGTCTGATCAGCGTCAAGACTAATGCAATTAGTTTACCCCAGTCTAGACTCTATCCAATTAGATCGGAAAAATAAGAACAGTGGATGACACAGTCATCTCCTTTGCTGTACTCAAAATACTTTCACTGCCATTAACTCTGCTAGTTTTTCCATGTCAAAATATATTTATAGTTAATTCTGTATAGAAAATGCAGTGGTTTGTGTTATTTTTGTTTATACAGTGGATAATGTGGGGTGCATCTGAGGATCCACCAGGTGCAATGGAAGGTGAACCGCCTGAGACTGTGGTGCATACAAAAGAGAAATGTGAACAAAATAAAAATCAATTAGAGTCCCTCAAAGAAATCATGATGAGAAGTCAACAAACTTTAAAAAAGAAGGAGGAGGAAGTACAGGTAACACATATTACTCTTTCTTAAATTATGAAGTTATAAGTTATGGAGAAGTATAGATTTGCAAAAGATTAAGTAACATTATTTGAAAATAAATAGATTTTTCATCTTTTGCTTAGGAATATGCACGAAAATTGTCAAAAATCAAATCTCGAGCCAAGCTGTCACGTCGTAGTAAAGAAGGATCTTCATCATCTAAAGACACAGTGCATTCACCTAAGACTGAATCTGTAGCAATAGACACAACAGACGATGCTATTGATGATATAAGCCAAGCGAAAACCCCAAAGGCAAAGTCTTCTTTACTTCAGCGAAAATTAGCAGAGAATAGGAAAGTGTTTGAGCAACGTAACAAGGAATTAACAGAGACTAAACGGGCAGTGGAAGAAAAAGTTGAAGCTATCAGGCAACAGCTGGAAGAAACAAATTTGGTATCAGCGGAAATATATAGAGATCAACTACCTGTCACACCAGTTAGACCTCTTATGGTAACATCAGATGTAAGTTTCTTGTCAATTTGATAAAACTTGATGTGCATGAAATAAAATTTGATAAAATTGGTCGTACTACTTAATTTCTCAATCTTTTAAGATCATGTCACCGATTCAAATCCAAAATATTCAAGAAAAGGAAAATAAAATTATGGAACTGGGTAACAAAATTCTCGAGTTAGAAGCAACTATTATGGATCTTCAAGAAAATTTAAAGGAGAAAGATTCTGTAATTGATTCCAAAACAAAAGCGGTCACTCTTATGTCTGCGGATCTTTCGAAGAAGGGAAAAACAACGTTAGACACTCTCGAAGATACGAAAGACGAAATGCGGACGATGCAGGAAAATTTTGTCCTGATAGAGACTTCTCTAAAAAATAAAAATGCCAATCTGTTGGAACAACTGCAGGAAAGAGATAATAGAATCTCGGAGTTGGAGCATACGATCAACAGGTAACATATTGGACAACAATATGGAACTAAATAATAACTATATCTCATACCAAAATATTAACAAGACCAAAAATACTACAAAAAACTACAAACGATTCTGAATCGAGGTACAGTAGTGAATTTTTTTTATTTTAAAGTCAGATTCACAAGTTCAAAAAGGCCTGTTTTGTATGTCTTAGGTTTGAGGAGCAACTGAAAGAACAGAAAATAGCTGAATCAGCAAGTGCTGATTTCTCACGTTCCACTATGGACACCTTAGCGGAAACCAAAGACGCAATGAAATCAATGCAGGAAAATTTTGTTCTTATCGAATCTTCACTGAAGTTAAAGAATGACAACCTTCTTCAGCAATTAGGGGAGTACGAAATGAAATTGGCGGAAGCCAAAGAGAGAATATTTCAACTAGAGTCGGGCACTGGTATAGTGACAGCTCCAGCAGTTGAGGATCTACAGTTTAGAATAGAGAGATTGGAACAGAGTAACCGACTACTTTTGGACGAGAAGTACGAACTGCAGAAAAATATCGCTGAAATGCAAGACCAAATCATCGCTAGCAGATCGGCTTACGATAGTAGTGAAAAAGATAATAGAATAGCGGAGCTCGAAAATTTAATAGAGGAACTCAAACAATCAAACAAACTGGAAGCAGAATCGAAGACTGAGTTGAGTAAGCAAGTCGCTGAATTAACATTCAAAAGCGAGGAATATTCCAACAAAAACGCCGTTCTTGAGAAGCAAATACACGAACTTGAAGCAGAGAAGAACGAAATCGCAGGAAGATTATCAGACGAACGAACGAAGCCCAGAGAAGACGATAAAGTGATAAAGTTAACGAAGGAATTGGAGGATCTTAATAAAAGTATGATCAAATTGAAGGCCCAACACAGAAGCAAAGTAAAAAATTTGCAGAAGCAATTGGAGAACTTCAAAATGGTGAGGAATTGTTGAAACGTGGACGTCTTTAGATATTGATGTTCAATAATTTAAGACGGAATTTAAATTTCATATAGTTCATACGACGACGTTAATGGTATTTTGTGCTTCGGTGCATGCACTATTATTATATTTACGTAAGTAGTAACAGTAATCATGTCTTGTACAGATGTCCGATACAAATGCGGAACTCGTTAGACTGGGCAACCAGGTGGCATTACTTGAGGAGGAGAAAGGTAACCTTCAGCTGAGTCTGGTAGACTTTGACGAGCTTAAAGGTAGGAACCAGGACAAACGTTTTATCGCCGGCGTTTCCGTTGTCCTAGTTATATTACTGAATTTTCAATGCGATCTATGTTGACATTTGTACCGGAATAGCCTTTTCCACAGCTTCGTTTTCTCCACTACGAAAAGCATTTGTTCTAGTCGTAATTACGTGTACATAGTCTCGCGATAAAATATACAGATCCACGCGCTGCAATGTGCGAGGAGGCTATAAGGACAACTTGTATCGATTTTATTGATTGCGACCGAGCACAGACGGCGAAATGTTGTCCAATCGCGCGTTTTATTCACGGATCGTCGAGAGAAAACTTGGAGAACGATGCTTCTTGAGGTCACGCTGATTTATGGTGATGGAATCTCTTCACTCGGCTACTTAGTCTTTTATGCTGTAATTGCCGAAACGAAATTTTCATTAATTAACGAAATTTTCATTAATATCTTGATAATTTTTCAATTATCGAATATAACATGGTACCTACTTTACTTGTCAAAGTTTGCTGCACACTTATTCGTAGAGATAGAAGATTTATATCCTTAGTACCTGTTGCCTATACAGTTGCTCGTCACACATTATCTTACATTAATCGACACAATCGATTAATTTGCATGTATTGCGACAACGATATTGAGTATTTTCTTTTTGGACATCTTTGTTTGTAATTACGCCACCATATGCCATCGTCGTTACGCGGCTTAAATGGGTTGAGCGTTGACCAGCAATACTTTGCGCGTAATTTGACTAACTTTTGATTGGCATACACGATGCACCAACGATCGAACACAGTCATATGAAATGAACCAGTCCCTGCCTTTTATATTTACATGCTTCTTGCTTCGAATGAATAAGAAAAGAGGATCTTCCTGTAAATAAAATTCTCTCCAAAGTGGCATATGCCATCAGCAGATTTATATTTTTGAAGAGATATCGGAAGAATCATGTTACGGCAGAGCCATCGTGCCTTTGTTTACATTAATATACATGGAGGGATATTCTCTGAATATAATCACTTGGGGACAAGCTGCGCGTTACTTCAACAAATCAGAGTCTGCTGTTGGTTTCTAATCCTCTACTGTCCCAGGACGGTAATCTTGTTTAACGGGGCAATTCCTCAATTGTACAAAGAGAGCGATTTGAACGACTCGGGGAGCCGGTGTGACTAGCACTTAACAACTGCTTGCTTTAAGCTTACTGTAAATTGAAATGGAGTTTCGCACATACGTTATTGGCAAATTATACGATCTGCACAGCCTCGGCAGGAGATTGGCAAGAACGTGTCGCTGATCTTGAAAATAAGGTCTCCTCTCAGACAAATGAGATACAGATGCATATTAATGCAATCGCCACCTTAGAGAAGCAAGAGTTAGATCTAATGCAAGGTAATTCGTCACATCAAGTTGTCCAGTCGCGTAGGGTAAGACGTACAGCTGTTGACCACTCAGGTAGCTTCTTCATTGTTTCAGTTGACCATTTTAACTTATTTTATTTACTTTCATTTCATCCCGAGATATGAGAACTGATTTGAAATCTGCGATTCGCTGTTTCGTTTCTCTCACCAGTAATCAATGGCAGAGTCACGCGTATCACAAATCAGCATCGACGTGTGCAGCAATGCACAGTTTTAATGACCGAGGAAATAATCCCGCTCCTCTTTTGTTATTGTTAATTATTAATGTATCAATTATATACAACAACAGCGTTAATAGCTCTACCTCTAGTCCTATATGCGTTAAATAAAATTGTCTGTATCGGATATTAAGGATCAAAGAACACGTTCATGACACGGAGTAGGCTTGCAAACAGTGCATGTTTCCTTTCAGAACTTTACACGGTAAAGCAGGAAGTTTCGGCCTTAGAAGCCGAGAACGCGGAGTCTGAAAATCTCAGAGTGACGGCGGAGATGAAGGTCGTCGAGCTGGAGGAGCAGCTGGAAGCCGCGCGCAAGGAACAGAGCGATAATAAATTCGAATCTCTATCGGAGGCCGAATACAGCGAGCTCCTGAAGAAGATCGACGCCCTGACGCAAGAGAATTCGGAATTGTACAGTAAGTTGGGCAAGATCGAGGAGAAAGGCGCGTCGGACACCGGCTCTACGGAATCCTTCGAGGCTATCCAAGTGAACGACAGAAACGATCTGCTGAAGAAGATCGAGGACCTGGAGCAGAAGAACAACGAGCTGACGCTCAAGTTAACAAAGCTGGAGGAGAAGGAGGGCTCGCACGCTGGCTCCACGGAGTCCTTCGAGACCATCAACGACACAGATCGCAGCGAGTTACTGAAGAAAATCGAGCAACTTACCCAGGAGAACAGCGATCTGACTGTGAAGTTGAGCAGGGTCGAGGAGAAGGGGTCATCCGACACGGGCTCTACGGAGTCCTTCGAGCGGATCCCGGAGCATAACGAGAGCACGACGAAGATAGAATTGCTTACCCAGGAAAATCACGAGCTCGTCATCAAGCTCACGAAACTGGAGGAACAGTTGAGCCAGATGGAGAGCAGCGCTCAGCCGGACGTCCCTAAAAAGGTTGATGACACCTTAGATACACTTCGACAAGAGAATGACTATTTGATGGAGGAGATCTCCAAATTGAGAGGACAGATAGAGGAGCTCGCGAGGGAGAACAGCAGGTTACAGGATCACATGGAAAAGCTGACAGCAGAGACGTCTCAGGTTCCTGAGATGATAAAGACGATGGAATATGCTCCTCAGGTTGAGACCTTAGTGGGGAAACAGGAAATCTCTGAGAAGGAACTGGCGCAATCGCGGGAAGTAGAACAGTCGATCAACGTGACATCATGCGTGACCGATGACACAAAGTCTCAGATCGCGGCGTTGGAGAAGGAGAACGCGCGAATGATTGCGGTAATTGCACAACTTGAGGAATATATCGACAACCAGAAGGAAGAGCTAAGCAAAGCGAGCAGCGAGAAAGAGCAGCTGAACCTTAAGTTGGAACACATGGCTTGCGACGATTTCGCCAGGGAGAGACTGGAGTTGATCGATAAGCTGGAGAAGCTGAATCGGGAGAAAGAGAGCGTTGCCCAGGAGAGGCATGATTTGCACGAAGAAATCAGCACGCTCTTGCAGAAGTCGTCCGACGAGATCTCGGAGATGCGAAAGGCGGAGGAGGCCTCCTGTCAAGAGTCGCAGGCTGCGATCGTAGCGTCCCTGGAGAGAGAGGTGGAGAACAGTAGAGTGCTAGTGGCGGACTACAGAAACCAAATAGAAGAGATGAACATGAAGATACAGAGCATGGAGACGGAGTTGCAGGAGAAAGCTCGGCAGTTGACAGAGCACGAAGCGTCGAGTTCGAAGCTGACAAGCTTGGAACAGGAGTTGAGAGACGGGTTCGTCACCATAGAGGAGTGGAAGTTCAAGTATGACGACATGGAAGTGAAGATGCGAGCATTGGAGGAAAGTAAGACATCGATAGAGGAAGCGTTTAGAGCGTTGAACAGTAACAACAAAGAATTGCTGGAGACGATGAAGGAAAACGACGCAGCTGCCGCCACAACGCAAGAACGACTTCAGAGCACGATAGGATCGCTCGAAACGAGGCTGCAGGACGAAGTGGCGAATCTGAGCGCGAAAGAACGTGAGATCGCGGACTTGAAGGCAGTGATTGAGAGCAAAGATGAAGAATTGCACGCTAAATACACGCAGCTGCAAAACGAGATGATCGCCATCGACAGTTTGCAAGACGAGTTGAACAACTGCAAGATGAAGCTGAAAGAGAACGAGGCTGCCTTGTCGATATCGCTCGAGGAGATTGCGAAGCTCAATATCGTAATAAAAAAGAAGGAAGAGGAGACACAATCCCTGAAAAACATCATCAGTGAAATGAGTCAAGTGTCTGAGCAGTCTAAGCCTTTAGCGGAGTTTAATGAGATGTTGGAGAACTTGCGAAGTGTGGAAACAAATTACACCGAATTGCAAGCCAAGCATGAAAACGTTCTGAAAGCGAACGAGGATCTATCTCGACAGATCGAAGATATGTCCAGGCGCGATGAGGACTTGAAGAATGAGCTGATGAAGAAGGAACAAGAAATCGCTGATCTGTTCGTAGCCAAGGAGGACATGGCCGCACAAATCGAGGAGATTGCAAGTCACAAGACTGAAGTTGAGAAGAGGAACTGGGAGCTACAGGCGATCCTGGACAATCAAACTGCGTATACCGAGAAGGTGCAATCAGACCTGACTAACGAGTACAAGCAGATGGAGCAGCTGAAGATTAAGCACACGGAGGATATAGCAATGCTGAATCGCAGATTGGAGGACGTCATCGAGGACTTGACCGCTAAAATACAGGAGAACGAAGCCTTGAAAAGCGAACTGGAACAGAAAGAGGAACTGCTCGGCAAAAATGTCAGCGAGGAAGCGAGGACCGTCTTGGAGGGCAAAGTCGCCGAACTGGGGCAGAAGCTGTCGGATTCGGAAAACAAGCTGCAGGCGCAATCCGAGAAGATGAAGAAGATCGTGGCAACATTCAACAAGAAGAAGGTAGCGTGCCAAGAGCTCGAGGCGCGCGTCGCCGAGTTGGAGGAGAAATGGACGACGGAGAAAGACGAAAAGGAGATGAAGAACAAGAAGATACAGGAGGTGGAGAACTCCATGCGGGAGAAGGACAACAAAATCGCCGACTTGGAGGGCAAGTTGCTGCAAGCGAAGAACGACACGGCGGAAGCTCACGCGAACTCGGAGAAGCTCGCGAAGGAGTCGAGTAGCCTGAGGGAAAAGATGTCCGTGCTAATGGAGCAGATCGCAGAGATGGGCGATGAGATCGAGAAGCAGCGCGCGGAGATCGATCAGCTTCGTCAGCAAGTGGAGACCGAGAGGATGGCGAACGAAGACGTTGTCAGGCAATACGATCATTACAAGGAAACCGAGAGCCAGGAGAATGAGCGCAAACAAGTGGTTCTGGACGAGGTGAAGGAAGAGGCGCGGGAACTCAGCGTGCGCATGCAAGTAATGGAGAACGAGTACGTGGAGCAGCTGGCGCTGATAAAGAATCTACAGGCGGAGAACGGCCTCCTGTTGTCCAAGCAGACGCAGATCAACGAAAAGTTGGAGAACGCCGAGAAGGAGTCGGAAGAACGTCGTGTGCTGATCGAGCAGTTGCAGAAGAAGATACCGGCCACGGTGACCGTGGCTGTCCAGACACCGGAAGATGAAGCGAGAGAGAGCGATGCGCGGGACCCGCAACGTTGCGACCACTCCGAGCAGTGCCAGAACCTGGTGCAAGCGTTGGAGACGCGTCTCCAGGAGCGCCAGGCGGAGATCGAGAATCTGAACAACGAACTGGCTAATTCGTACGACAATATCCTGCTGCTTCACGACAAATCTTTGAGGTACAACGATATAATGATGCAGACGGCCCAGGAGCGCTTCAATCAGTCGCTCATGGATCAAACGAACACGTTGCAGCAAGAGATCGATTCGTTGAAGACAGAGAAGACCATGAGCGAACAGAGAGTGTCGGAGTTGGAGGCCGAGTTGAACGAGTACAGACACAGGAGTGCGGAGAGCAGAGTCGAAGTCTTTGAACCAGCCGAGACGTCTACCGCAGAGGACCAACGTCAGCAGGAACGGGACGATACTCCGCAACTATTTGACGCTTCGAAAGTCTTCGGCGCTGCCGTCTCTTCGAGTGTTGACACCTCGGACACTTCATCCAATGAGATTTCGCGGCTGCGGACTCTACTGAGCGAGAGGGAGGCCGAGTGTGCCCAGCACATGAAAGAAATCGATCTTCTGCGGAAGAGTATCGAGGAGGAGAGATCGTTCGTGCAGAAGTTACAGGCTCAGTGCGACGACCAAATGGCACACTGGAAGAACCGGCTGGAGGACGTGCAAGACGAGCTCAAGCGAATGGAGCGTCTGCATTCGGAGAAGATAGATTCGTTGAATGCGGAACTGAGCAAGACGACGCTTCAGGCGGACGAACTGAAATCGTCGCAGGAGATGTACCATGGCGCACAAGCTGAGTCCGAAAGACTACAGCAGATCGTAAGTGAGAAGAGCGCGCAGGTTGAGTCGTTGCTTGCTGAACTAGGCACCATGAAACAACAGTTGAAGGAGTACTCGCTGCATGAGGACGTAGAAGCTAGCTTACGCACGGAGATCTCGCTCAAGGACACCGACATCATCGCATTGCAAACGGAATTGACCTCCACGAGGCAGGCTATGGAGGCGTTAACGGCGGAGCGAGATCAGCAAAGTCGCGCCTTGGAATCATACAAACTTCAGGTTGATCAGCTGGAGGCAGAAGCGAGGAACGTCAATGACAGCGACCTGATACGAGAGTTGGAGCAGCGTGTCTCCGCCGTTACCACGGAGAGGGACTTGCTGCAGTTGCAAGTGAACGATCTGACGCGATCCTTGGAGGAACTGCAGGAATCGCTGGCGACTCAGCGTAACCTGCAAGTCAACCTGGAAAATGCATTGCGCGAGAAGGATCAGGCGCAAGAGCTTGTTGCGAATCTCTCGCGCGCCTTGGAGGATTCGCAGCGAAATCTTCAGGAGTCGAGAGCGCTCGAGAAGAGCGCGAAGGAACCCGCCTTTGTCGAGAAGTCGGCCGTGCAACAAGAGTCGGAACAAGTCCCGCAACCTGCGGAGGAACCGATCGTCCATCAAGAATCGGCCCAAGTTCCCGCTGAGGAGGAGGCAACAGAGAAACAGGAGACTCTGTTCGACGTAGATTTGAAATGGGACGACGGTTCGTCCGAGAAACTCAATGTCGACGAGGAATCCTGGGGTTGGAGCGCAGAGGACGCCCAACTGACCGGCGACCAGCATCTCGGCGGTGCGATGACGTTGTTTCCAGACGCCGAGGTGCGCCTACGCGCTCAAGTGGGAGACCTGCAGGATAGAATCAAGGATCTTGAAACGCAGAACAGCAAGATTGCAGAAGAGAACAAGGCGGCGCAGGTGAAGAGCGGCAAGCTGGTGAAGAAGCTGAAAGAGTACAAAGTGCAAATGGAGAGCTTGCAGCAGCAGTTGAAGACTCAGAAGCAAGCTGACAGCTTCTTCGATCTGGACACGGCTATCGAAGAGGAGCTGAAAACCCAGATCGCCAGTCTGGAGAAAGCTCTCAATGATATCAAGGAGGAGAAGAAGAGCATCGTTGCTGAGAAAGAGGCCTTGCTGAAGCGACTCGATGTGGTGGTATCGGCCAACGAAAGATACATGGAGATGAAAGAGAGGCAGGATATGGAAGTCGAAGTATTGCGTATTCAAAACAAGGAACTGGGTAACAAAGTGCAGTCCTTAGAATGGCGGTTGCAGGAGAACGCGACTGACGCGGAGGAGGAAGCTGTCTCTCCGCAGTGTGAAGTCCAGCAAGTCGACACATCACGTCGTGAGGTCGACACCATTGTCGCACACGGTCAGCGCCAGAAGAGGTCGACTGACTCTGTTGATGATCTGGAAGCGATGTCGAGCAAATACAAGGAAGAGATAGACGACCTGAAAGACGAGCTGGAGGCGCTCGCTGCGGAAAACGAGCAGTTACAGCACTTCTTGGAGGAGCAGAAGGCGACGATGACGAACTTGGAGCTGAAAGCGGCTGGTAACATCGGAGAGTTCACGGAGAAACTCGAAATCTTGAACAATCAGCACGCTCAGTCGCAGAGCGCTCTAAACAGAAGCAAGGAGGAGTACGATATGCTCAGGAAGCAGTACGAGCAGAGCCTGATGGACGCGAATGACCAAGTGGCGGCGATGCGACAAAATAGCGAGCTCCTGAAGATCGAGTTTTCAGAGAAGGTGGAAAAATTGGAGTCGAAGGTGAGCAGTCTGCAGAAAGCCTTGGAAGAGAAGGAGGCCTTGGAAAGCAGGGTCAGTGCCCTGACGAGTTCAGAAGAGAAATTGTCGACCATCAACGTGTCCCTCATGATGGTCACGGACCTGCTCAACGCCCGAGTGCAAGAAGTCGCCAGTCTGAAGCAAGAGCTTGTGAACCAATACCTGGAGAAGCAAAAGTCCGAAGCGGTGTTGCAATCGGGGGTGCAGAACCTAACGAGAGAATTGACCGAGAGGAAACAGGAGTTGGCAGCCTTGAAACAAACATGCAGCGACAAGGAGCGTGAGTTGTTGCAGCAGAGAAGCATGGAGACTGTAAGCGCTATTGTCAGCGAGGCTACTCAGGAACTGGTCCAGAAGCACGCGATCGAGATCGAAGGAAAGGACAAGGAGCTGCGTGATCTAGCAGAGAAATTGACGAAGTTGCAGTCTACGGTGAACGAGTACAGTTCGAAGTTGCAAGACAAGGCGACTTACATGGAAACGCAACATCAGCAAATCGCGTATTTGAAGGAGGATCTGACTGAGCGAGACTCGATAATAGCGAGCACAAAGGCCGACGCTGATTCGATGAGCGAAAAGTTGCGAGAGAAACAGGAGGAGTTGATGCGACGCGACGAGGAGCGTTCAAAACTCACAACAGAATTGGAGAGATGTATGATGGACATCCAGCACTTGCAAAACCGACTGAATGCTACAGAAGCGACCACGTCTGACTTACAGGAGTGTCATTCGCGTATTTACAGTCTGCAGCAACAGGTTAAAGACTTGCTCTCGGAAAAGGAGTCGATTTTGTTGGAATACGGTCAGGATACGAAGACGTTTCGAGTGTACGTGGAGGACAGCAAGCAGCAGATCGACGCGTTGAAGCACGATCTGCAGGAGAAGACCGAGCAATTACACCACTTGAACGTGCAGTTGTGCACGAAGGAGAACGAACTCGAGGGAATCAGGAACACGATAATCGATAAGGACTCCCTGCTGGATATCATGAGCCAAGAGCTGGACAAGAAGCGAGCCGAACTGGAGAAGCTGCGCAACACTCCAAGTTCCAACGAGCAGCCGCAAAGCTCCAAGATGATCGATGGTCTTCCTGTCTTCAGGATGGGCAACGACGACGACACGGAGCTGCAAAAGACCGTAGACGAGCTGAAGGCGCAGATGGAGGCCAAGCAGCAAGAGCTGGAGCACCTCAAGTACGTTCTCAGCGAGAATACATATCCCGCGATCATCCAGCAGATGCAAGACAGAATTAATTGCTTGTACAACGAGAAGGCGACGTTGGAGACCTCCTTGCGAACGACCACGCAGACCTTGACGGAGAAGCAGGAACAGGTGCATCTGTTGACGCAGCGCATCAACGGCCAGAACCAGGAGCACATTTCCAAGGAGGAGGCCAGTATACTTCCTAGAGATCGCAGGTCCGCGCACGATCAGGAGGAGATTGTACGGCTGCAGAACGAGCTGCACGCCAAGGAGCAGGAGATCAACGAGCTGAAGTATGTAATAGCCGAGAAAGATTCGCAGTTATGCCTCCAGGCCAGCATGGAGCCGCAATCGGACGAGTTTGAGCTGCGCGAGACAGTCCAGAGGCTGACCGGAGAATTGTACGGTAAAGAGCAGGAAGTGCAGACATTGAAGGCGACTATTGCGGAGCTGCAGGAGGAGTTGTCGCGCCTTCGAGATCTCGAGAGGCTTTCTGAGGAAAGCAGGAGCGCCATCGAGAGACTAAACTCGGAGAAGGAGCAGATACGCATCGAGGCCGAGGAGTTCTTGAATAGTGAGCTCCGGAGGAAAGAAGCGGAGATCGGCGAAATCAACGGCAGAAAGCAACGGCTGTCGGAGGAGAACCACCAGCTACTGACGGAGCTCCGGTCGAAGGACAGCGACGTGGAAAACCTGAAGACGCAGTTGACACAGTTGCGGGACGACTGGAGCGGCAGATTACAGCAGAAAGAGAATGAACTGATGCAGATGACTGACGATCTGACGGAGAAGGAGCGAAGACTGGCCGAGCTGAGCATCACCAAGGACACTATGTTTCACAACCTGAAGATGCAGATCAACGAGAAAGAAACACGCATAGAGGAGCTCTTGGCGTTGTCCACGGAGGAAGAGAAACAGCTGAGCGAGCTGAGGCAAACTCTCATGACCAAGGAGACGGACTTGAAGACACTGAAGGAGCTGTTGGAGCAGAAGGTGAGCGAATACGAGTTAATACAGCACGCCTTGAAGAAGGACGTGTCCGTTATCGAGGCTGCGACTTCGAAGAGCCCGGAAATCGCTCAGGCAGCCGTCAACAAGGACGCCACTTCGAACGAGTTGGACCTCGCGCTGTACATGCTTCATCAGAGAGACGTCAGGTGCGAGGAGCTGACCCACGAGCTGATGCAATTGCTCGAGGAACGCGACACGTTGCAACTGCGATTGTCCAATGCCATTCGGGTGAACGAAGAACTCAGGAGAACGAGCAGCAGCAGCAGCATCGAGGCGAGCCCGACGAAAGACTCGACGCCGGCCCCATTGACGATAATCGAACCTGTTGTGGAGCAACCATCGCCTTCCAAGTCTGAAGGCCCGGTCGAGATCGCGAAGGAGGCCATCGATGACCCGATTGAAGACAAGGAAGCTCTTGCTCTTAAGTAAGTGAAGTTTGTTCTAGTTGTCGTAAGACTGCAGCTTACCCTATCGCGATCCGCGTAATCCTCTAGCTGTACACAAGCAGAAAATGATATTTAGCACTAAACATTTCACCTCAATTTTCATTCATGCCATGCAAGAATCATACTTCACGCTATCAGAGACTCGGAATTTTTTAGTTACACCTAATGCTAAAAATATGACGCGAGTACGATCTTTTTTACACGTAGTATGTAGCTTAAAAAGCACTTAAAGAGGATCAAAGCGAAGTTAACATTCTCGCATCGACACCCGATTTGGCAGTTGAAACTCTCTATCGAGCTACTAAGTTCTCCACTCCACTCCAGTCGATCCACTTCGTTCACCCATCGATGCAATTGGCGACTCTCGACCATTCCGAACGGATGCATACACAAGTCTTAATTGAGATCTGATTGCTTCGTAAATCGATTAGAAGTGTCATTGTCTCGTCGGCCGGTAGAAATCGAAAGGTTCCTTCGTATTTCGCTCATTGAAATATCCCCCCGTCGCGCACGTTCGATGTCGAAGAGCGGAAATATTCTAGAGTTCCTCGGCACATTATCCAACAAACGCTTCGATCTTGCTTCGATTGTAAGCCGCTTGCAGGTAGTTATAAGCTAGTACCCCCCTTTAGATTGTCGCAGTTGCATTCGGTCAGCCACACGAAGGACGTACGATTAAAGGACGAGCGGGAGCTAAGACATACACAACAAATGTCCTTGTTAGCGCACAGGGACGTTTTAAGCACGTTGCCACCCGAAGCAGCCGCGAGGCTTGTCAACGCTAATTACACACTCTGTAGGTATCAATCGATGCGCGGGGAACAGTCGAGGAACGCGCTCTATTAGCGTTCCGAATTACGTTAATTCTAACTATGCGAATCGACATTTGCTTCCAGCTCGAGATGTTCGGAGTCAGTCGAGCGTCCTCCTGAATTGGTTGTGGGGCAAGAGGTAATTATTTTTGAAAAGAAAAAGAACAAAGAAGATTTTTCTATACCCTGTTAATTATGTAAGACCTCGAATGATGACTTTTGATTCAATGATTCCTTGATCTCACAGGCTCACAGTATCGCGATCTCTTTGTATTTTAGTGTTACGGTTCTCCAGTGAGCTTTTCTTACCATTATCCTTGATCCTTTCAGTTTGATAGTTGTTTATAGTTCTCCTTGGCGTTCTCTCCACAGATTTTCCCTCGTGTCCTTGACTAATCGAGTCAAGTTGATGTGCTCTGTACAATCACGCTTCTTTGTATTCATCTGTTTTGAAATATTGAAATCTGCAAAGTTTCTTTTGTATATGTAGTATATATTTTTTTTCTCCTACGAATGTGATGCGGTCGACATTATCGCGCGAAATATGTTTTTAGCACGCCGAAGATAGTGCACATGTGATGAACGAACAGCGAGAGTGAAACGGCCATTCGTTTTGCCTTCTGGATACATTCCTGCCAAGTGCCAACTGCCAAGACTTATACCCGCAGTTATCCGTGTGTAGTTGGAACTCGTCGTGCATTTTTTCAGGCAGAAGTCGTTTGAGCTTGAAGGCCCACAGTCGCGACGAATTTTACTCGTGAAGGTGCGTGGCGTGACGGAAGAAGGCGTCGAAGGAAGAGATATTTTTCAAATCACATGTACAGATTGTAGGTAGTGTTCTTTCTCGGAAAAGTCGCTCCTCTTCGGGAAAGAAGAGAATACGAGGAGCAGACTTACATGTATTATAATGTTATATAGCTGATGTGTACAAGAATACAGTGAAACGTAAAATGTTGCCTTAGGTAATGATGTGTAATTTCCGTGTATTTCTTGTTTATTTTATTTTCTGACTAAATTGTCGATAGCTGTGGCATGCATCGAGAGATAACTTTGAAACACCGCTTTGCAAAAACGAATGCACGGGCATAGATATTCCATCGGTTTGTTAACTAAAATATTTACGTGTCTTGCAAATTATCTGCGATTGTCTTCCGGCTTGTTGGTGCAATTATTGTTAAAATCACTACCATTATTTTTATTATTGCTTGTACATCCAAGGGAAGCCGTGCAAGACGAATCATGAGTAACCCAGAGGTATAATCCGCGGTAATCGTAAATTATTCGATTGTTCTATTTCCATAAAAAAATTTTGTACAGAGAAAGAAAGAGAAGCATAAATAAAGAGATAAAATGGCAAGGAAATGCTTTACTCAAGTTCCATCATTCTCCGTCTGACCGACTCGTCTGACACACGATACTTGGAATCAGCGAAACAGCTTCCGATGGAATTGCGAATTTGTCCCAGACAAATGCGCATTTCTAAACACATTCCTGCGTGAGACTACTCGTGATCTACACAGTGGATCTACAAACATTTATATCGCTGTGATTGTAGGACTATTTAGATTGTCAGCAATCTAGACTTACTTATCATGAAAAGTCGGTGATATTAACGCCCCAGTAATTACATGATATGCTACGCTACTTCATAGTTCGTAAAAAAGTAAAAAAGAAAGGAGAGACAATGAGAGTAAGAATGTACAATAGAAATAATAAGATAAAATAAGAATAGTAATAATATTTTTCTATCTGCGAACTACAGGATTGCACCGGTCGTTATAATTCCGAGATAGTAACAAAACCAACTCCGTGTGCACTCTCGTTCGTATTAGCGGAATTAATTCGTGCAGAGAGATTTATTCTTTAGCATAAGAGCGTTACCCTCTACCAATGCGTCGTTTTTTTTTTTTTATCTACAATTGTTCTCCGCGAGCAGGGCTGCTTGTGATTGTGCAAACCTGATTTTTTCAACTTGTGCAACGTGTACAAAGAGAACAGTGCGACGGCTAAGAGCGCGAAAGCTCAGAACTAGATCGCGGCATGCGTATCCAAATATGCGTCAGCAGCAATTTCGTTCGTGTGCGCGTACGCCATGGGATTATCGTCCATCCAGCAGACCCACGTGCAGTTCCACAATATCGGACTCGCCCTCACATCGATAATCCTGTTGTTCGGTAGCAGCATAGTTGACCTATGTTGCAACAGAACTTCCTGTAATTCCTTCGCGACCAAAGGTTCCTGTTTGATGATGTTTATCATCTCGCAAGGGTCTCTTTCCAGATCGAAGAGACACGGCGCTAACTGTGTGTCGCATTGAACCTGTAAGCAGCGTGAATGACACTTTTGTCCCGATCGCACCATAAAGATACTTGAGGAAGAACGTCAATTGTTCGCGTGCAGATATTATTCGGTGTAAACTTTTGAAACACACGAGGAGATAAAATTTCGAATTGCAAAATCGTCTCCTCTCCGATTCCTCGACAATCCTACCTTCTCCTCTTCCGTAACGTTGCAGTGGACTTCCGCTTGTTGCCTTAATTCCAGCATCTTCGCAGAAGTAAGTGCGACATTATTGTTACCAGGCAATGAGGCAATGGCAATTCCCACTTTGCTGTTCAGCACTGTCTCAGGCGAATACGGTGGTCGTTGCTCGGAGGAATTTCTCCCGCTGTCTCCTACCCAGTCGTTATTCTTTTTACTTTCACCGCGCACGTACTTGTATTTGCCTATACGAATGGCTTCAGAGTCGCAAATATCGTCGATGTTTATCAACACCTCTTTCCTCGGGCTGCAATCACCGTATACGATTGTTTCCCACATGTCCAAGCCATCAATAGTGCCAATTTCTTCCTTGTTTCCACCTGTAAGCAAGATTTCATTAATGTCTCATCAACAGCGATCGAGGAGCGATTTGTAACTAACCGGCGGCGGATAACAAAGTGGGCAACCAATCGGTTACGTGCATTAAGTGGTACGAGACTCGCTCACGTTTCTTGATTAAAGGGCTCCAAATTGCAGCTGCTCCTCGCACGCCGCCTTCCCAAAGAGTCTTTTTTATCTGTAAGTATCCCAGATAGAAAGAGAGAAAGAGAGAGAAGAAAGGGAAAGAGAGAGAGAGAGAGAGAGAGAGAGAGAGAGAGAGAGAGAGAGTTTCATTTGCATTACAGCTTGAAACAAGTTTAGATGATCGAAGTTTTTTCGTCACAGCGAATACTTACTCCTCGAAAAGGATAATTACTGCCGCCATTGGACAGGAAACCAGAGGTAGGTGCACCGTTATCAGACATAAAGAGAATGATACTGTTACTCAACATGTTGCGATTTTTCAAGGCTTCCACAACTTTGCCGACGCTCTCATCCAATTTAGAAACCACGGCTATAAACAGTAATATTAGAAAATAAACCATTTAGCTTGAGGCATCTGGCAGATTTTATCGCGAAGAAAGAATCATTTGATCTAGCGGGCATCGTCGCTTATTTCATGATATTAAATAAAATTGAGTATTTGTTTTACATATTGCTTTCGTTCTTTTTTAGTAATTTTGAGGTGCAGGCAATGGCAAAACTTCCACTTTCGAGATAAATTAATCGATATTGAGAAACAACACACTGTACCAGCGTAACGCTTTCTTTTTGGATCAATGATGTAGGAGAACTTTTCGATTTCTTCAGGGAGAGCTTGTGGTAATTGATTCGCATTTCCTGCGTGAGGGGCAATTTGAGCCAGATATAAGAACATTGGGTTATCGGTATTGTGAGTATTAATTAAGCGTACTGCTTCGTCAGTGTAGAGATCAACGGAATATTTGCCCATTGTGTCCCACGCGACCGTGAAATTCCGCCTCATGTCCATACCTATATTCAGCGTATACTGAAGAAAAATATTGATAAGTACAATATTTCCAACACATACCACACGCACACACTCTTCCTCTTGGCGCGACATCCTCTTTCAATTGAATAAAAATGACTGCGCATCTTTCCCTTATTGGGAAAGAAAAGATGTGATATTGCTGAAATAGCTTACTGGTTCCGCTGTTTTGTGACTATAGTAATCCTGGAGACCATTCCAGTAACCAAAGTGCGTGTCGAAACCACGGTAAAGCGGTGTGTACTCCATTTTGTAATAACCCAAGTGCCATTTACCCACTATATGTGTTACGTAATTCATATCCTTTAGATACTGAAACAGAATAAAATCAGTCCGGGACATGTTTATTATTGACAACCAGGATGCCGGTTTGCAGTCCAGTTCGCGGAGTGAAGATTTTCGATATACCTGCGGCAGTAACTTCTCTTCTAGTGGGAGTCCACGTGGTTCCGACGGAAATATAGCTTCATGTTGCATACCCAGGTGGATTGGGTACTTTCCAGTTAACAAAGCTGCTCTACTTGGCGTGCACAACGCTGCCACATAATGATTCTTCAAAAGGACTCCGTAATATGCGAGAGCGTCGATATTCGGCGTCGGGATCTGGTTGGAACCATGAAAGCTCACGTCGTTCCAGCCCTGCGAATGACGGCATGAAATTTATTACAGATACCCCTGTGTTTATTACTACGAAGGCCATAATGAATACACTCTGTCGTTAGATTTCGTGGAAGCTCCCTAAGAAAATAAAAAAATCAAAGACATCTTTGATTCGATGATAACACCAGTCAACACTGATTTTATCACAAAAGGAGTGACACATGATTTCGATAGGATATTTCTCGTAGATTACGAATCTGAAATCCAAAATGTTCCATCACGTCACGTTTCTGAAAAAATGGCGTTCAAAATGTGAAAAAAACGGGTTTTTGGCACTTTTCGAACCTCTGTCACAAGGAAACGGGACGTGATACAATGTAAACTGTACGTGGGCTTAAATTAAAGCTTGAACCTTAAACTTTAAATATATGATGCTAGATAACATGTGACGATACTGTGGAGTCGTGTAGCATTGGTTTTTTGACTGGGCGCACGCCAATTTCGATCTCGCGTTTACCAGGTCTGTAAATATGAAACCGGAATTTGCCCATAGATAGCCCTAGCTGTCAATGTAGTAACCGTCAAACCGCGTCATTGGCGCCATTTCCATTTGTTGACATCTGACAAAGATTTTCAACTCACAACAATACAAGTTTCATACAACAGCATAGTTTGTAATAGCGTTGAACATGTCGAATTTTGTGCCTGAAAGCTACGATTTGCGGACAGCATTTATCTTCTGTTACCATTTGAAGAAAACTGCTGCAGAATCGCATCGAATGCTCGTCGAAGCTTACGGTGAGCATGCTCTTGGTAAATCAGTGTGCTTTGAGTGGTTTAAAAAATTAAAACGTGGCGATTTTCACATGAGAAACGAAGAACGTGGAAGACCACCGAAAAGGTTTGAAGACAGCGAATTGCAAGCATTGTTGGATGAGGATGACGCTCAAACGCAACAACAACTCGTGGATCAATTAAATGTGACACGAGAAGCCGTCTCCATACGTTCGAAAGCCATGGGAAAGATCCAGAAGATGGGAAAATGGGTTCCACATGAACTGAATGAAAGACAGCAGGAAAACCGAAAAACCACTTGTGAAATGCTGCTCGCCAGGTACAAAAGAAAGTCATTTCTCCATCGAATTGTGACTGGCGATGAAAAGTGGATATATTTTGAGAATTCTAAGCGTAAAGGATCATGGGTAACTCCAGGCGAACCATCGACATCGACTGCAAGGCCAAATCGCTATGGACGGAAGACAATGCTCTGTGTTTGGTGGAATCAGAAGGGTGTGATCTATTATGAGCTGCTAAAACCTGGCGAAACCGTTCATACTGAACGCTACCGACAACAAATGATCGATTTGAATCAAGCTTTGCGTGAAAAACGACCAGAATATCAAAAAAGGCAACACAAAGTGATTTTGCTTCATGATAATGCACCATCGCACACAGCAAAACTGCTCAAGGAAACGATTGAGGCGTTTAGTTGGGAAATACTTTCGCATGCGGCTTACTCACCAGACTTGCGGCTCCGTCCGATTACTACTTATTTGCATTGATAGGACACGCACTTGCTGAGCAGCGCTTCACTTCTTACGAAAATGTACGAAAATGGCTCAATGACTGGTTTGCCTCAAAAGAGCAACAGTTTTTTTGGTGTGGCATCCACAAATTGTCAGACAGGTGGGAAAAATGTATAGCTAGCGATGGGCAATACTCCGAATAAAATATTTTTTATCATTTTCATACAATAAACGTGTATTTTCTATACAAAAATTCCGGTTTCATATTTACATATCTGGTAACAGTGAACCTATTAGTTGCCCTGTAAAGCTTACTAATCTGATTACCAACAATTTATGTTAACTTTCAATAGCTTTCTTAAATTTTCTTATTTTAAGCTATTTTATCTTATGTTTGCTTACTTGAGACATTCCGTTGTAATCAGATTTACTGTCAAACGCGGAGTCTAAATTAGTGCACGCCTAGTCAAAAAACCAGTTCTACACGATTCCACAGTATTGTTACATGTTATCCAGCATCATATATTTAAAGTTTAAGGTTCAAGCTTTAATTTAACCCCACGTACAGTTTACATTATATCACGTCCCGTTTTGTTGTGACAGAGGTTCAAAAATGCCAAAAATGCGTTTTTTCACATTTTGACCGCCATTTTCTCAAAAATGTGACGTGATGGAACATTTTGGATTTCAGATTCGTAATCTACAGGAAAAATCCTATCGAAATCATGTGTCACTCCTTTTGTGACAAAAAAAAGTCGAAAAATGTAAACTAGTATGATTTTTAAATTCAGACACTCACCAAGTCATCTGCCAAGATAATAATGATATGCGGCTTTTTATGGACACTTTCTTCGGTTGCGCCACTTTCCAAGGTTCCAATAACTCCGACAGGTACCAAGATGACCACGAGACACAGCGTAAAAAGCAGTTGCTTTAGGAGCAGTTTACTCATTGCGAACAACTAAACACATCGCAGTGAACACGAACAATATGCGTGTAAATCACGAAATTTTACGAAAAGTTTTTATATATTTTGTGATTAAATGTAATATGTATATTTTGAAAATAATTCTTTTACAAACGAACGCACAATATTTCACATGTCATATGTATTTAACGAACGCAGCAGTTAATCGTAATTATGTTACTCAGCATAATGATAATGCGTAGTTAATCTATTATTTATGCATAATGCAAATAAAACCAAATTGCTCAAGGTTTTGCTGATAAACAAACATTTATAAGCGCTGGTTAAGCGTGTTATTTAGAATCGCCAAGCTTGAATGAATTAATTTCCATTATATAGGGTGTTAAAAAGGTATGCCGACAAACCTTGAGAGATAATAGAGGACAAGCAACATGAAATAGGAAACTAACGATCGGGAATGCATTGTTGTATGAGATATAAGGTGTTAGTGATTGGTAGAACTGATGCAAAACAAATACGATTTTGCTGATGTTTCTAAGCTAAAACAATTGCCTTATTTTCTACTCGTTTTTAAGCATGATTACCAGAACCCCTACCTCTTTGACTGCATAAATTATCGAGAAAGCCTCTATGTATATATCCGAGGAGAATTTGAATATGCGAACGGCTACGTGAGTTATCTTTTTACACAAGTCAAATATAACGTCACACACGTGTCTTATTGCGCGGTTTAATCTGCGTGACTGCGTCAACGTGCTAAAGCACGTTATAATGCAGATTGTGCTTCATGTTGCGATAAAAACATAAAGCGTTAATAGTAGCATGAAGAACACCAGTTACAGATATTTGTGATACAAAATTTACTTTTTGGAACTTTTTGGAACAACACTTTTGTCCGACGGAGGAACGGCGTAAATAGATTTGAGAGAAGTTATCTCGGTATGTTCAAATGAGGAGTTATTGATCCTCCGAAGGACGCATTTTGAGATAAATCGTTTCTACGAGGCAATTGTTCCGTTGATAAGCCAACAGAGGCGACTTTATAGCCCGAACCTGTCTCACTGATCTAAAAAATTCTTCTCGCGATACGGCGCGAGCTACGTCGTGTCGTATGCAATCTCGACGCATTTCTCTCCTCAATGATGTAACTTATGAGTGTAACTTATGAGTACATTTTATAAAATATACACTCACGAAACGTTTCGAAATTACGTGATTAAACATGTTAAAACAGACGAATTGTTGATACTTTTTTAGGTCAACATTGTTATTATCTGTATGATTACACTCCACATTACGTTGATAAGTCAGAATTCATCAATCGCTCATATCGTCGAATACTCCCGCAGTTAACGTTAAACGTTTCGCTTGGATAAATCGTAGGGGAGTCAAAACCGCAGTAACTATTGTTCAATTAGCGTCTGTTTCGCCAAGCATTCTGCTCGTCCTTCGTACCGAATGCACCCGAATACATGCATTCGAGGTGCTCACCGACCGTAACGATCTTGTCTGACGCGAATGATGCTTGCACATCATTTCAATGTCTTCAAACCGTGTCTCAGAGTTTACTTTGCAGAACACGATCAGCTCATGAGAAAACCAAATTTGTGGATGTAAAAAAAAAAAGTCATCTTTCCGTACGATCGTATCGTAACTGCGTCGCTCGCGTTATTATGCAAACAACGCACGTTTCCGAGCGCGAGCGATAATCCGTTAAACGCGGAATCATACGTAGTTTGGCGTATTTTCACGTACGATTATCACGGCGAAATCCGCGATACTGTTTGACTTATATACTACCATTGGCGTTATCCCGTGTTACTTCCGGGTGGAATTTATACTCAAACGACAGGGATGTCATTAATCTCGTGACGCCTCACATATCGTGATGTTCATTGTCGTTTGTCATCGCGGATTTTTCACTGCGGAATAATCGCGCACGCAGTTGAGACGGTCATGTCCATCAGTATAATTAGTATTCACATGTCTAATTTATTGCCTCTTGCTCGTGGCATCGAGGAACGATAACGTTCATTAAGTATGATTAATAAGGACGCGACTGATTTTCCTTTACAATTAGTGTACATTAGATGCTTGCAAAAGTCTGTCAGATTTTTAAATATATTTATTTAATTAACAGTAAAGAAACCGCGCATACATATTTATTTTAATCAAAATATCCGCCGCCACTATCATCTCTCAGGTGCAATTGTCTGATTCCGGATTGCCGGACTTGCTCGGCATTAGTAAGTCCGTGTACTGGACGAGTCTTGTTGCATCAATCTGAATAAATGAAAATCAGATGGCACAATGTCTGGCGAGTCTGGCGTTTTATTTTTGCAATTTATTTTTCGTTAACAGAAAAAAAACATACAATAGCATAGATGTACTTTGTCGGATTCCATTTTTATCTATAATAAAAACGAGATTACGTTGCTACTTAACATGTCATAAATAAATTTTAAAGTCACGAGTAAGCACTTTCTTAAATTTACGAAACTCCGTAGAAAAAATAATTTAAATTGAAAAACAATTTATTTTAATTAAAAGATAATTTATGAAGCTTCATTAAAAAAAAACTGTCAACTCGCAGAGACTTCCATTTATTTATAATTCGACGATCTTTTGCAAGCACCTAATATTGCCACGTATACATGTGCAATGAAATGCAATTTATTTTGTTGTCTCACATATATGCAACTGATTTAAAAATCCTTATTATTGGGTCAGATTTGTCGTCAAACAAACGTCGACATTGTCGAATAAAATAAAAAATGAAGTCATCGAATTTTGAACGATTAATAATTTAACTGATAAGTTTTATATATAAAATCCCTACATCGACTCGGTATCTTTTTAAACGCAGTGAACATCTACAGATATAGCAAGGTGGTGGTGTTAAGAATTTCAATTTTTTTCATACCGCTAGGAATAACTTCGAAGTTGGATATATCGCTGAAAGTGGCATCAATGCAATCTGGCTATCGCCTATATATTCGAGTCCCATGGTAGATTTCGGATACGACATATCCAACTTCACGGATATCGACCCGATCTTCGGTGATCTTCGGGACTTCAAGACTCTTCCGGCGCGCGCTAAGAAACTCGGTCTGAAAGTACGACGAGCTCTGGGAATGAATTATTTGTCGCTTTTCGTAGGAGCCACTTCATAATACGATATTCGCAGGTGATTCTCGGCCTTGCGCCGAATCATACGTCCGACAAGCACATATGGTTTCAAAGGGCTCTTCAAGGCGACAAGAAATACAAGGACTATTACGTGTAGGCGAAAGGCAGAGGGAAGAATGGCAAGAAGCCGCCCAACAATTGGATCAGCGTGTTCAGTGATTCCGCGTGGACTTACGTCAACTCGCAGAAACAATGGTATCTGCATCAATTTGATTACAGGCAACCGGATTTAAACTTCTACAATCCCGCTGTCAAGGAGGGGTTAATAGTAAGTTGAAATAGTAAGAGAAAATGTTTCTCCCAGAAACTGCGTTCTGACATGTCATACTGATTTTTGAAGGAAGAACCTTTGTTTTCTAGTATCCAGATTTCCCGCAGTTATTAGTAAAGATTTGATTGATAAATAATGATACCGATAAAAAATTTCAAGAGGACACATTAATAGACCTCGCAAAGACAGATTTGATGAACTGATCATTTTCAAAATATTCAGTTTCGTATCTCGCTATCAGGCTATACTTCCGTTGTTTCTTCGCTCCGATTTGCAATAATAATACCAATCGTTAAGACGGAAGTAAATCTCCCACGACATTTGGCTTAGCTTCTGAATAAAAACTATTAAAAATTGCAGCAAAATTGCAAAAATTGCAAAAATTGTTCGTCAAAAAAATCAATTTTTGTTTCATGCGCTTATTCGTTCGCGAGTTAAAGTCTTTCAAACTCTCTGCGCATTTGACAGCAACAGCGAAAGCCAGCGCGTTATTTACGGAGTAAGGTGAATGATCGCTTGATCGAGCAAACACATGGCCGAAGGACACGTGGTGGAGGGCCACTTGACGCCTGTTGCGTAACGCATAAGATAAAGTTTCCTCCAAATTGCATGCGCGAAACACAACCCTGCTCCCATCCACGCTTTACGAAGTATTCAGTAGATGTCGCTGTCGCGGCTTTACAAGCTTCTGAATCGATCGCGACTTGATGCGATGGCCGATAACTTCGCTTGTACGGGTCGTAGCGACCTCGAAGAACGTCCGTTGGGAAGCTGAAACTTTGATGCTTCTGACAAGTGCACGTCATCCTTCGACCTCTATAGGGTTTACTATTACACTACAGGCTCTACTAGTACATGTACATGATTGCTTTGGTTGGCTGTGGAACGTCCTGAAGTTCTGACTGGACCTGGGTATCGACGGCTTCCGCGTCGACTCCGCGCCCTACATTTACGAGGACAAGAAATTACGAGACGAGCCGCGAGGAGTTACGTCGCAGGCGCCACACCGCGGGAATATTACCAGTACTTGAAACACACCTACACGACAAATCAAATCGCTACTTATGAGTTACTCGGGAGTTGGCGAAAGTATATAGATGAGTACGCTGACAAGTATAATCAGGATCAAAAGGTGAATGGAGTCTTCTATTCTAATAGATTCTTCTAGATCAGTAAGTCATCCGCAAGAGACTTCAAACACGGGATTGACACCTGGATGAACTCGATGCCGAGCGGTGAAGTCGCTAATTGGGTGGTACGTAATTGCGCCGAGCTGTCTCTAGTCTTGGGTCTCTTATCTCGTTTCGTTTCTCTCTTTTCCCGTAATTTCTTAGAATCTCTACTAAACTCAGAGATGCGATCTTTTTTTGCGTACAATTAATTGCACATTAATCTGGGAACGCAATTTTGATGAGAAAAAGTCGCCGCTGATTGTTACATTCTCGTTCGTATAAGAGACGTCAAACTTGAGATCATCAGCAAATTGATGACGACGAATTTACACGCTGAAGATGCAAGAGGTCATTGAACTCTTCCTCTTCATGGACGGAGACAAAACGAATTGCGTGAATTGTTTTTCAGTTGAGCAATCACGACAATCCGCGCGTCGCTTCTCGTTTCCCTGGCAGGTCCGATCACATGACTATACTGTCCATGAACTTGCCGGATCTGGCGGTGACGTATAACGGCGACGAGATCGGCATGGTCGACAAGAGGGACATATCCTGGGAGGACACGAAGGATCCGCAGACGTGCAACGCGGGCGAAAAGAATTACGCGACTGTGTCTCGCGATCCGGAGCGCACGCCGTTCCAATGGGACGCGACGAAGAATGCTGGTAAAATCAAGCGACTAGTTGATCACGCGATACTGAAGTAGCATGTCCCTTTCGACATGTCGGTCTTTGTGAATTTCTGGATTAAGCGTCTTGAAAAATTCTATTAAGGCTCTTCAGATTCAATCAAGGAAATAACAGCCAGCAAAACAGCCAGTGCAGGTTGAGACGGATGCGTCTAATTAATTATACAATATTGAATTATACTTTGGATCAAATTTACCGCACGCTGGAACAATTCGAGTTAACTTACGGCCCTTGATCATCATGATTTCTAGCGATCAAGAATTTTGCTTATCAACTGATTATGAACTGATAATTTTTCTACGACAAGCTTCAGCACGGCGGACTCGACATGGCTGCCGGTGAATGAAAACTACAAGACGTTAAAGACGTCTAGCGGAGTAGAAAGCGTCCAGCACGTCTACTACAAAATTTACAAAACCTTAACCTACCGAACGGAGCCGGGGCTCTTACCGAAGGAAGTTACAGATCGATCACGACGAACGGTAACAAGGTTCTGGCTGTGATCCGCAGCTCCGGTTCTCGCTTCTGATCAACTTCGGTATTGCTTCTGATCAACTTCGAGGACGAGCAACCCCAAGTCGTCGATCTGTCGAACGAAGGACTGCCAGCGAAGCTGTCGATTAAGGTCGCCAGCTTGGGCTCCAACGTGCAACCGGGGTACGGCTCGAGTACTTTTTGTAAAATCATTTATTTTACATACACACTACTGTGATAAAAAATAAGGTGAATGTTTCATTTAAACTTCGCGGGTACTATAAAATCATGAAATTATTTTTTGGTGGGTTGGTAGCACTGTCTTTGACATCTATGCAGAGTTTCATGTCAATATATTCAATTGCTGCAGAGCTATACGTGTTTTTGTAAACATACAAAAGTGAGTTTTTCGATTTTTACTATGTCTGATTTTGTTGAGCAAAGAATTTGCATTAAATTTTGTTTGCGGAATGAATATTCTGCCGCGGAAACGTTGAGGATGTTGCGGAAGGCCTTTGGTGATAAGGCTATGTCGCAGAAAAATGTTTACAAGTGGTACAAAGACTTCAAAGAAGGCCGAGAACGAGTTCAAGACGAACAGCGCCCCGGACGATCATCGACATCTACCGATGAAAGCCACGTCAAGGAAATCAAACTGTTAACAAGGAATATTATTTGAGTGTTATGCGTCGTTTGCGTGAAGCTATTCGCCTCAAGAGGCCAGAATTATGGGCAGACAATTCTTGGTTTTTGCACCACGATAATGCAACGTTCCACACTGCATTGGTTCTTCGAGAACATTTCGCCAAAAATTCGACCCATATCGTTCCACAACCACCGTATTCGCCTGATTTAGCACCGTGCGACTTCTGGCTGCTCAACAAACTCAAAAGACCGCTTCGGGGACACCGTTTCGATTCGATTGAGGAGATAAAAGCCGAATCGAAGAAAATATTGAAGGCCATCCCGGAAAAAGACTTCTCTGACTGGTCCGAGGATTGGAAAAAACCTTGGCATAAGTGCATCGTGTCGGACGGAGAGTACTTTGAAGGCGATGAAATTGATTTGGAAGAATAAATAAAGATTTTTCATTTTATAAACAAATTCACCTTATTTTTTGATCAGAGTAGTATACACGCACACGCAATAAGATAACACACACTTTCGTACGCTTGCAGAACGGTGGTCGACTCGAGCGAGATACTTTTACCGGCGAGGGCTAGTCTAGTATACGCGTCTATTTAAAAGAGCACGCCGCTTCTCAGGTGTGATCTTCACCCGTCCGACAATTTCTTAACCGCACCGTGTGAATCTCTCCTGTAACAAAGTAGAAGCAAGCAAATGAGGATTAATTAATTTCACTCATCTCTGATCACGTTCCGACCCGATCCAGCGCGGATCTCGCTGGATATCTTATCGTCAAGCATTGTATTACGGCGTACCGACCGTCAGTATACTACGACGACGGATCCCACCGTCGGCGGCTGGAATTAATTAACGCGCCGGTAAATCGGGACGTCGTATTGATCGCGATAAACGCATGCGCTTTTATTAATCCGATCGCGCGCTGGTGGGGCGACGCTACGCTACGTGCGAATAGAGTGCTGCGGAGCTCGCGATAGTGCAAATCCATGGTAGTATGACGGGAGCAGTGCCGCACGTGTTGACGAACGCTCGGCGAGGGTGACAGTGATCGTTCTCGATCCCGGGTTTCATCCCTGTGCTTCACGGTACTTGGCCCAAACGTACATAACACCGGGAGTGGAGCGATTAACTCGCGAGGCCGGGGTAACATACGATGCGTTGTTTCGGCGCGACACGCGCGATTTCGCGATCGTTTCTTTCGTCTTCTTCCTCGTTCCGTCGTAGTCTGGACTGACGTTAGCGTATATTCTTCTCGTTTTGCCGCGAACGGTGAGACATGGCTGACTGATAACGGAAAAAAATGTCGTATGTTTTGACAAGTGCGTGTGCGCCGCTCGACTGCAACTTGCATATTGGCCTCCTCGGTGTATTTCGTTCCACTCACTGTCTGCGTCAAATATTACCCTGTAATATCTTAACACAATATCTTAACACAATTTTGTTTTTAAATATCTGGAGGAATTTTTTGGGAATTTTACTGTCAGTGGGAGGGTCTTTTACTTGTTGTTTCCCACCTGGTAATTATTTTGTCTCGCGTGAATAGATATAGATGAGATGTCTGCTTGTCAACTCAACTTTCGTCGCAAATGTCGCGAACGGTGCAGAAAATGTTAAGATGTCGGCGCAACATCGTGTACTTAAACTTTGCGTTTCGCTGCGACGTATTCGCAAAAATTCACTCGTGCAAGCGGACCGGCGGTACGTCGAGAAGCAATATCTCACAGCCGGGATTTAAGAGACTACGGAATTTACGTTGAAAAGCGCAGGTCCACGTCGGAAAGTCCGTCCCGCGTTTCGACAGATATCGTCACGCAGCGTACCGACCCGCGAATTGCCTTTGCAAATATTGCCCTGACACGTCGAATAAATTAAATTGCGCTTTGCAACGACAACGACAACGAGACAACAGTCGCTGGCTGAGTACGATAACGACGACAACGACGGCGACGGCGAACGTCGTTTGTTGTGACGAGCGCAGTTATGTCACGCGACTCCAACACGCCGCACTTGTGCGCCGTCCCGCGACATTTGCGAGTGACAGATATCGCGTTTTGCAGGCATCAGCGAATTCGCACTTTCGATCTGCCGTATGTACATACGACGCGTTCGTTCGTCGCCAGACGACGAGTGCGTCTCTCTCTCTCTCTCTCTCTCTCTCTCTTTCTCTTTCTCTGCTTCTCTTTCGCCTCTCACTGCGGATATTTCAAATTTGCAAGCGCGAGCGCTGCCCACATAATGCAGGACCGCATAATATAGATAACGCTGCATTGCAGTTGTGTGTACCGCTTGTGTTGTGAAACGCAATCGCCTACATGCCACGACATCGCGACATGCACGACACACATCGTCCATTCCCGCATAATCCGTTTGCCCGATACAACGCGATACAAGTCCCCCATTGAAGTTTGTTCGTTCGCTGTCTATTGTTTGTTCGCCGGTCGTTGCACTTTGTAACATCTGTCTTTCGCCTTTCGCAGTATCTCTCCCCTCCCTTCCCCCGCCCTCTGCCACCCTTCCCTTTGTTTATTGAACTTTTACCTCGTAACATGGCCGTGAAGACGAAGACGCTCTCAACCGCTCGTTTTAACCGCATGTGTCTTTGATGTCATCATCAAAGAAGGGAAGCGCGCACCAGAGAGAGAGAGAGAGAGAGAGAGAGAGAGTTTGGTAAAGCTGTATTTCTCTCCCAACGAAATCGATCAGGATGAGAGAACGATCGAACGCATCTTTGACACACAATTCCTAGACGCGATATTAAGGCATGTTTGCGTTCCCGCATCGCTCACTACCCTACGTTGATCTGAAATCCTCGCGGTGTCGAACTTGCCATAGAAATGTGGACACAATCGATGATCTATATTTAGACATACCGCGCAGAGAAAGAGAGAGAGAGAGAGAGAGAGAGAGAGAGAGAGAGAGAGAGAAGACAGAGAGAAAGCTTTGCTTGCAATTCCATGCACGGAAACTCCAGCAGTCCTTCATCGCGCTTCCTGCTTGGCTTTCATGCCGTCGCACTGCTCATTATACGTAAGCCATCAAGCTCTTTGTATTTCAAAAACGCACTCCGAAGCATCAATGATAAGTCGCTCGCGCGATTAACGACAATTTGTGATCATAGAGCCATATTCAGCTCCGAAAGCTCGCGCTCGTCGGTTAGGAATAGTCTGCCGTGGAGGATATCCGCGTCGACTCCTTATCTCGTGCGGTCTCGCCAATGCGCTACAGTAGACCAATTAAAAAAGTTCTTTCATTCCGCACACATTCAGTCGACGGCGAGTGGCCGTCGCGAGATACGGTCGGATTTTCCCTCGAGTTTTCCTGTCGGTTTTCCGCCGTTCTTCGACGCGATTCTTCTTCCTCTGTCGGTCAGGTGAAAGTACGCGTCTTCCTCCCTTCCTCTCTCTCTCTCTCTCTCTCTCTCTCTCTCTCTCTTTCTTATAATTGGAACATTGAGCGGAAATAACCGCGAGTTACTGTGTCTGTTCGTTCGTGATATCGTCCGCCCGGCATCCGGCCGGTTGGAGGGGGGCACAGGGGGTGGAAGTTAAATAAAGACTTCTCTCAAAGACTCTTGTGAGCGACAAAAAAGTGGAGCGCGATAAAAATGGAATGTCCTTTTATACGAGGCGTCACGTCGTATAAGAGGACATTCGTTCTTTTTTGACGTGCGAACGACGCTAATGCGAAAGGTCGCGTGCGCCGCGCCGCGCCGCGCCGATGCGCGCGATTGAGCGCGGCGACGGACGCGAGACGCAATCAGATACCTGTTGTGATTGTACGTCGCCGATGGATCGATTGATTTGCGTATTCCGCGCGGGTGACGTGTACGTCCCGGGAGCGCGTTACGAATGACATAACACACCCCCGCGTTCGATCGGCGCGGAACGCGCGACGATTGGAGGTTTTACGGTTTCGCCGCGCCACGTCGGTCGTCCGCTCGCGCCGTCATCTTTCTCGCACTGCCGAGGCGTCCAAATAACACAACGCGGTATTTTTAAAGCGAGTTTAATAATAATTCGTATCATTATATCCGCGAAAGCAGCTGTGCGCCACGGTATAAGGGGCTCTGCGTCGCCGCACTGATAGAACAATATAAAAGTTGAATTAACTATAATCTCACTATATTTTACAGTTCATTTTGGCGTCAAGCATATTTTTATAGTTCGTGGGACCTGCAAAATATAGTGGAATAAACACAAATATATAGTCAATGATTGTCTGAAATAATTGTTCAGTTACTTTACCTACCATCTTATATTTGTATCCGTACAATAATTTTAGTTTAACTTACTATAATTCTCAGTAAAAATATTATATGGTTGGTTATACTATGCCTGTATCGTAATTATTACCGATATTACGGTAATACTTACTATAAATATGAGATTTCGGACTATAATTTAGTTACTATATCATTATAGTTCCAAATATCGTATACTTTTCTCTCAGTGCGGTCGGTTCGCTCTCTCGCTCAAACTAATTCGACGTGCGCGAGCCACCGTTCATTCTTTTCTCATTCCTTCCTTTCGTCGCCGTCAAGCGGCGTTTTCGCGAAATATCCCGCACGTTTGCCGTCTCGCTTTTCGTCACGAGGGCGGATTTCATGCGACCGCCGGCCGAGCTGTCTCACGATTTAAATATCACTTCCAGTCGATATCTCCCTTTCAATCACCTTCCGTTTTCCAGCGCGATTCACCGTTATCGCTTCGCGCACACATTGCTTCACGCGTCCACGTGTGTGCATAAAAGTGCGTAGGTGGTCGCGCTGTGGCCTATATACATCGGAAATGAAGCTTACGTCTCTTATCTGAGATTACTTTCAGCGTTACTCGCTTCGCAGGGACTGCGGCGAGCCTATAGCAAAGAAGACTTGCCTGCTTAGTTGGAACAACGGCGCGTCCGCCGATTGGCATATTCGCGATGCAAAGCGCTTCGGCGAAACCTTTTCCTGATCGATACTCGAGCGAGGTCTCCCTCGGGGCGGAATCCGATTGTTGGAAGCCCCCCCCTCTCCCTGCCTTAATCTCTCGCCTCGGTGACGTAGCGAATTCGACACTCTATTTAGCCGAGTCCCGTCATCGTCGTTGATGGCGACGCTTCTAAAACCAAGACTAATATATCTTCAAAGGAAACGAATTTAGATCGGAAGCCGGTAATCCGTTCAATGCTAATGCAGCAGCCGCAATCCGCGAGAGTTTGCGTCACGCGAGACGCTCGTCGAGTCAATTAAAGTTGCAGGCTAATATACGCGACGAACGTTCGCGCGGCAGCTCCACGCACTTGACGAGCCGTTCTAATCCGACGACGTGCGTCGTCGTCACGTTCGTCGCGCGTAACTAATGATCTTAATTTCTTTCTTTTCCGATCTTGAACTTCTCCACGCGGTGTATTTACACCGCTCGCGTGGCACGTCGCGACAGGTGTCGGTCGATCGCACGACCGATTGAGCAATTTATGTCCGCCGGCTATATCCCGTCCCGTTAGACGTTCACGTTAGACTCCCGCCGACGACGACGCGAGCACTCACGGAGTCAATTAATAAAGCGAGCCCCGCGCTCGCGTTGCAGAACATGGTAGACGTTACGACAGCTTTGCCGTCCAACGGAGGAGGCTCGCTAATTGGACGCACCAGAGGAGCTCTCAGGTCGGTGCGATCCGCCCTGGGCGGCAGCGGGGAGTATCTACAGGGCCTAGGGAACAGAATAGGGTCCGCTCTTAGCAGCAGCTTGGAGGAAAGCGAGCTGACCACGACTCCGTCCTCGCCGCCGTCGTCGCCGCCGCCGCCGCCGCAAGCAGCACCGCCTATGAAGCCGCCTATCAAGTCGGAGGAGCAGTTGGGACGGCGGAAACTCCGGCTGCCAAAGTAACGAGAGCGCGACTCTTTTATCATCCCTCTCCGAAATTCTTCGTCCTTCCTCACTCCTCTCGCTGAAAGTCGCGAGGCGTAATTTCGCCGTGACGCAAATTCTCATGTTATTTATGCGCGACTATATTAGCGAACGACGTCCAACGACGCGCCGCGTGATCAACAGCGTGTCGACCGCTACGTACGATAATATTGTAATGCCGTCGCCTCTCTCATGAATATTCGCTCGCGCGCGCGCCGACACTGTTTTTCACTCGTAGGTTCGGCGCGGGATTATCTTACGAGGATTACGAGGCGATAGCGCGGCACAAATTGGAGCGGCAGGGAAGCGCCAACCTCTCCAGGTGCACGCGGAAGTATCCCCCCGGGATGACTTACGAGGAGATCGCGTCCTCGAGGTCGGCCTCGAGCAAGAAGCAGGAGAGCCGGACGGAGCAGGACGACATCAGTCCCGACCGGGACAGCCAGGAAAGTATAGAGCCCCTCCAAGAGCAGGACATCAAGGCGACCGGGCCCGATCCTTATGAGAAGTTGAATTACAAAGCAGGTGATTAGTTCTATCCCAAAGCTAAAATTACACTCACGGCGAATCTCGAGGTCAATGACTTTGCTCGTCGAGGATGAACAGTCGTTTTCTCGTTTTCTCTCTCTCTCTCTCTCTCTCGCTCTCTCTCTCTCTCTCTCTCTCTCTCTCTCTCTCTCTTGCTCTTTCTCTCGCGACTGCCATGACTATCGCGCGGTAATCGACATTCGGCTGAAAATAATATGTTCTTCTTTCTTTTCACGAAGCGAGGGCGCCTACCCGCTATCAGACGATCGTTTTCCGTTTAGGTAAATGTAATGTCAGTGTGGATTCTCCCCTGCGACACTCTGTGTGATCTCTCACCTCTCTTACACGAGTTCCCCCCGGTGTACTACACGCAATAGGAATGCTTGAAGCCCAAAGTGTATCGATACTTTCGTGTATCCGGTGTAAAACGCGAATCAAAGCCATGTGATGCTCTCTCTCTCTCCCTCTCTCTCTCTCTCTCTCTCTCTCTCTCTCTCGCCCTCTCTCTCTCTCTCTCCCTCCCTCCCTCTCTCTCCCTCCCTCTCTCTCTCTCTCTCTCTCTCTCTCTCTCTCTCTCTCTCTCTCCCCCTCTCTCCCTCTCTCCCTCCCTCTCTCTCTCTCTCTCTCTCTGTCCACCTCTGTCTCGAGTAGAATCTCGTTATTTTACAATCGGTGCATTGTCCTACTGAACACGTCGATAACGAATAATCGTAATTGGATACTTCCGTTTAAGCCGAGCCGACTCGGAATCGAGGTATCACCGTCGAAGATATCTGTTGTTGTCGGGCAAAGTATCGATACGTCAGTGTTGTCGTAAGCATTTCTCGTCACGTGCCCGACCTGTCGACACAGACCCCAAGCCAACGCTAGATGTAATTAGCGAATATTAGAGCGATCGATATTCGCTTGACCCGGTGTTCGAATATCTCTGGGTCGACTCCGCTCCGAGTCCTCTCTTATTCACAGTTCGAAGGAATCGCTTGTGCGTTACATGCGCATACACACATGAGACACGACTCGACTCGCTTGTATATTCGAACACGTAACAACACTCGTAGAACACTACCCTCCCACCAGACATATTGCATCTCTCTCCGGTAAAAAGTAAATCTTTAGTTATGTACGTATATGTGTGTGTGTGTGTGTGTGTGTGTGTGTGTGTGTGTGTACATGCGTATTTATTTTCACGCAAACTGTTTACCCATTCCCGATTGCATTCGTATATGTAAGCCCCAACAAGCGCGGAGACTATTCCCATTTGATTATACCCGAGAGATAAGACAGCTTTGCCGAGCGCCGTTTTCCTGCGATAGGCGGCCGCAATTATCGCCGAAGCGTTGCTTTCGCGTCCCGCGTTCCCGTGTAAAGTCGCATAATTAACCTTATAATCGCGTACGGCTAAGGTCGTACAAATAATAGTAGATAAGGCGATATTACGCAAACAATGCGGCATTCGGTGTCGGTCGTAGCGACGGGCGTATTAGTCCTCCGCAAATTCGTCCTGCAGGTATCCGTAATTCGCTCTTGCGTCTTGCGACTGCCCTGCTTGAGAAAATGTCCGCGGGATCGCGGTGACAACCGGCAATTGTTGCACCTTTGAAGTATGCTTGTCGTTTCGCGCTACCGGTCCGGTTAACGCTGGCGCATTCGGCGGTAGCATCGGGAATATAATTACGTAAGAGTGGCCGAGTACGCTGTGTTGCGTAGTCTAGCGAACTTACTTACTTTTGTCGTTTGTTTCTGTCCGGCTAGTCGTTAGATTAGACTCGACTGCAAGTTTGAGTGTCATCCTCCCGACTAACGTGACGCACCGTTGCTTGTGACAAATTAATTACGTCCACACGCCAAGGCGCCCGGGGATTCCCCGTTTAATAGAACGCACGCTTCGTTTTGCAGACATACCTTGCAGCAGCGACTCCACCAGCGATCAGGACGGCTACGGGCCCAGCACCAGCTTGGACTCCAATATGGATGGCCGTAGGATGTGGCAGCGATCAGGTGACGATTCACGTTTTCGATCCGACTGTTAGCGCGTTAGCGAAGAAACGGTCTTTATTGCCCGGGCGAGTGAGCGATGTTTATATAACGTTCATAGTCGTTCATCGATAACGATGAGTACCGCAAACTGAAGAATATTTAGAGTTATTACGGGCAATCATCGCTATTATTTGCTCAGGGTCGTCGGGCTCTGTTCAGTCCTGGGCCTCGAGCTTATCGGCCGACAGCCAATCGGAGGAAGCAGCTGCAGACTTCATGAAGGCCTTCGTGCCTCTTTTATTCGACGCGCCTAACAGTATCGATCAGGAGCAGAAGGCTAATTTCGGGCAGATGGTCCTGGTAAGCGCCAAGCGAATATTGCGAAACGTCTAACGGTGATTGATCGAACTTGGTTCCTGTGCTGAACGTGCAAATAGAGATCAACCCTCGCTGCTCGAGTATTCATAGCGTTCTCAGGAACGCGTCAGGACTCGCGCAGCGAGGGATGAACGGCGCGAGTAAATCGCAGAGTAAGCACAGGTGGCGAATATTTTCTTAACATTCGGCTATGATTCGTGGATTTCTACGACTTGCGACTTGCCTTTTGTGTCTTGCGACTAAATAAATAGAACGGGCTTAATACGCACGCTGTGGCGAATTTGTAGACCGAGTCGGGGAGGATATGGTTCTCCAGAGTGGTGAACGCGAGGAGGGCGCGCGCTTGCGTTACGGAGGCTTCGTTCTACTCCTTGGCCCAGCACTTTGCGGTCGCGCTGTTCGAGTGCCACGAGGCGGATGACTTTGCACCGGCTAAGAGTCTCATGAACATGTGCTTTACATTTTACCACGAAGGTAACGGGAAGTGTCCACCCACGGAGATGGATCATCGAAATCGCTAACATCTTGACCGCCATGTTGAATTCCCTCGATTACTTTGACAAGCTTAACTGAGATTTCGATCACCGAAATGAGGAAATGAGACTTGTTGATAATTAATAATTGATAATTGTTTACTTATAATAATTGTTGTACCCCGTTGCTTATGCAAAGCAATGAGTTTCAAGGATACTTGATCAGAATTGATAACGTGACGTTGTCGTACCGTCGCTAGCCGATAATCTCCATGACAGTGAACGTGTCGGTCAAAGAATAAGCCGCGATAATTCATCGTGAGAATAAGATAAACGTCCCAATATCCGAACACTTTGAAAAAAAATATTTTCTATTTATTTTAGCAATAATGAATGAAAGTAATAATTACCGTAAAGAAAAAACTCCAATATTTGACGAAAAAAGTATACTCAATTTGATACTTTTGAATTAAATTAAAAATTAATTGAATAAGTATGCACCTATGATTTGGCAAGATAATGGTCGATCGTTAATAAATTCATTAAGAGATAACATCCATATTTATATTATTTCTCGTTAGCACATACTAATTTTCTAATTACGGTCAGACGCTGGGACAAATTATATCATTTGCTCATCAGTTGAACATCGGGCTATACCAGGTCTGTAAATATGAAACCGGAATTTGCCCATAGATAGCCCTAGCTGTCAATGTAATAACCGTCAAACCGCGTCATTGGCGCCATTTCCATTTGTTGACATCTGACAAAGATTTTCAACTCACAACAATACAAGTTTCATACAACAGCATAGTTTGTAATAGCGTTGAACATGTCGAATTTTGTGCCTGGAAGCTACGATTTGCAGACAGCATTGATTTTCTCTTATCATTTGAAGAAAACTGCTGCAGAATCGCATCGAATGCTCGTCGAAGCTTACGGTGAGCATGCTCTTGGTAAATCACAGTGCTTTGAGTGGTTTAAAAAATTAAAACGTGGCGATTTTCACATGAGAAACGAAGAACGTGGAAGACCACCGAAAAGGTTTGAAGACAGCGAATTGCAAGCATTGTTGGATGAGGATGACGCTCAAACGCAACAACAACTCGTGGATCAATTAAATGTGACACGAGAAGCCGTCTCCATACGTTCGAAAGCCATGGGAAAGATCCAGAAGATGGGAAAATGGGTTCCACATGAACTGAATGAAAGACAGCAGGAAAACCGAAAAACCACTTGTGAAATGCTGCTCGCCAGGTACAAAAGAAAGTCATTTCTCCATCGAATTGTGACTGGCGATGAAAAGTGGATATATTTTGAGAATTCTAAGCGTAAAGGATCATGGGTAACTCCAGGCGAACCATCGACATCGACTGCAAGGCCAAATCGCTATGGACGGAAGACAATGCTCTGTGTTTGGTGGAATCAGAAGGGTGTGATCTATTATGAGCTGCTAAAACCTGGCGAAACCGTTCATACTGAACGCTACCGACAACAAATGATCGATTTGAATCAAGCTTTGCGTGAAAAACGACCAGAATATCTAAAAAGGCAACAGAAAGTGATTTTATTTCATGATAATGCACCATCACACACAGCAAAACTGGTGAAGGAAACGATTGAGGCGTTTAGTTGGGAAATACTTTCGCATGCGGCTTACTCACCAGACTTGCGGCTCCGTCCGATTACTACTTATTTGCATCGATGGGACACGCACTTGCTGAGCAGCGCTTCACTTCTTACGAAAATGTACGAAAATGGCTCGATGACTGGTTTGCCTCGAAAGAGCAACAGTTTTTTTGGCGCGGCATCCACAAATTGTCAGACAGGTGGGAAAAATGTATAGCTAGCGATGGGCAATACTTCGAATAAAATATTTTTTATCATTTTCATACAATAAACGTGTATTTTCTATACAAAAATTCCGGTTTCATATTTACGTACCTGGTAACTTATTTCAACTGTCTGGTCACTGGTACATTAATACGCTTCATTATGTGTGTAAATATTTCATTAATAATATATATATATATATATATACATTGGTTTAAATAATTTTTCTCTACTCAAGGGAATCTTAAGTTTTCGAATAAATGAAAATATTTACATCAAAACCGTCCTTAATATTATATATTGTATTTTTTGTGGCAACTTACGCTTAAACGTCCGGTTAAACGGAATATTTACCTTACAAAGCGCGACACAAGCATGTCCCGAACGATCATTTTCAGTGGAAGTCCCCGGATTAGAGCCATACCGCGAGTATCTGTACACGCATTTGCGCGTCCAACCGATATGGACCTCCATGAGGTTCTGGACCGCTGCCTTCTTCGACGCGGTTCAGTGTGAGCGAGCCTCCAGGCCAGTGCCGCCACGACCAAAGTCCTTGGATCAAGAGAGCATCGCCGCCGAGGACCGAAGGTTCCAAGCGAACATAGTCTTCGGGCAATTGGGGTGAGTATTGACGTTCCACTTAAAAGTTCGCAATCGATCAGTTCGATCGTGCTCATTCCGCGACGCGTAACGATTCTTCCAGGACTTTCACGTGCAACATGCATGCTTTCGGCCTGTCACGAGCTTTATGCACCGAGTTCCTGCGGAAACAATGCATCATCGCGAATTTGACCAAAGGTAAGTAATCGCGGTGTGTTTCCGTATAAAATAAAAAAATGGTTGATTCGTGGAGCAATGAAGGCTGCTTCGCTTCGACTTTGCAGAGCAAGAGAAGATGCTGCGAGACAACATAGATCGGATGTTCGACGAGACCGAGCCATGGCGGTAGTTTAACGGCGGAGCCACGCCAAGAGGATCGATCGTGGAAGTCGTCCTGCGAAGTGTTTCTTCCTAAAAATGTTTCCGGCAAAATCCGAATTGTTCTCGAGCGCCGAGAAAGCGGCGAGGTCAATTACGAGTGCATTCTTGTTGATATCGTTGCTCGCAAATCGACACCTAATGTATCTTTCGCGGTATTCGACGTTCAACACTGACGCCGCTCGCTGGCACGCAAATATTGCGCGGATTAGCGTCGTTGAATCGTACCAAAATTCTCGTTTCCGATACGAAGTAGTTAAGACATTACGAGTCCTAACAGCGCTTATGAGAGGGAACAAGAGAAGATGAAATCTGAGGTCCACGTTGGAGCAAGTGCGAAATTTTGGAATAAAACGTTGAAACTTGAAGATTCAGACTGCGACGATAAAATTAAGCTTCGAAATGACAATAAAATGCGAGAATGCAACTGCGTTGTCGGCAGTTTGGTCCAAGTGCGGTTGATCGTATTTTACATAACGCTCGAGAGAGGGTGATTCCCTCACTGATAGAAAGCATATAATTCGATACACAGCGATGACTCACGACGAGATCGCGCTTTATCGAATTTCTGAATGAAATTCCAGGCGAGCATTTGTTAAATGATTTTTACCTCTCCTACATAGTCTGTGCGATATTCTATCTGTAGGTTCTTTTTTCTTTCCTTTTTACACTATGATTTGTCGTGTAGTTACTAGTTATCGTAACTTCGATCGCTTTCTTCCCGGATAAATGGATTTCTAATGCGCGTGTGAATCCTAACGCGTTACACTTGTAACTTATTGTTAGCTGTGGCAATTTCCAACGTGAGGAGTCATTGACGCCTTTTGTAAAAACGGGACTCACGAAACAAAAATGTAAAGTATTTTTTTTCCATTGTTAGACGAGAGTGACATTCCTTCCTCTAGCGGAAACCCGATACCGGTTGATTGTAATAAACGGTTTGCACATTTTAACGACCTATCATCACACGCGATGTAAATCGTTACATCATCATTGTGCGATGTAAATAATTTCAGAAGAAAAGCTTGTACCTAAACACATATCATCAAATGCAGATCACACAACGCTCTATTTTATTTTATATATGTATCTACCTGTGCGATATATATATATATATACATATATATATATATATATATATGTGCCTGTAAGTATGGAACGGTAAATTCAACAAACACTCAAGGCAAATAAATACCATCGTCGTATTTGAGCAGTTTATTAATAACATTTTATTCCTTTTTTACTATCAAAGTCTAGGCATATAATGTGCAAAAATTTCTGGAATTTCTAAAATTACGTAAAAAATTTCCCTGTCACGTAATTATTTTACTGATTGCGACCATTCTGACATCTTTGACTTTATAAATCCCATTCAATCTCAGCACTTTTTGCTAGAAAGCCCTTTTTACACTCCAAGCTGCTTGGAGTGTGTACTTTCAACAAGTTGGAAGTTCTTAATGGCTCTCTAGTAACAGAGAGCTTCTCATCAATATTGTTGATCTTTCTGGGACTGAAATATTTACTTCGGAACTTCCCCCGCAGATCCTCCCGATCCTTGAAGAACATTGGATCGCTTTTTCTCACGTTTAAACATTTCCTCGGCTCCACTTGAGTCTTTGTATGTTTCCTGGATAAAAGTTCATCCTTCTCTTCTGGGGAGACTTTTGTATCTTTCACGATGGACTCGGTCGATGTTTCACTGTACGGTTCAGACTTTTCTGAAAGCTTCTCAAGAGTTCCACTTCTTTGAAACATTTTACCGGGAAAGTAATTCGACATAACGTTGCTTCGGATAGATTTCTGTTGTTGTCTCGACCTATCAATGTTTAAAATCTCATGTTTGATTCTCGAAGCACCATCCGTTGCATCCGTTTGCGGCGTGCAACTGAAATCATAATCAAATATGCTCCGTGGACTTCGAATCTTCTTCAAGCTCGCTTCGATCAAGTCAGCCAGGTCAAAATCGTCGTCTCTGACGACGAACGGACTGTCGGAGTGTGCATCATTATTGTTGAATATTTCAGAACTGGTTACGGCTACCTTCTTGGGCTTAGCTTTCGTTTTCGATCGAGACTTACCGTTAAAACCTTCTGCTAAATCCGACGAAGATTTGATGCTTTTCATAGCGCTTTTAGATACCGGTGACGGTCTGGAAGCGACATATTTTGTTTTGTTCTTTTGCGAAGTCGTCTTGACTCTGTTAATCTTGTCGATATATTTTTCCGGCTCCTTTGATCGCCTGTCAAATTCTTCGTCATGCTTGGAGGGTCTTTTAGTTTCTTGTTTCGTCGTTAATCTTGACAGGATATGGTCTTCCTTTTTTTTGACATTTTCGTTTACGTTAGATAGAGAATTCGAGCTTCTCGGGTTTTTCTTTAGCGAAAATGACTTCTCCTTCTTCGTTTTTGGATCGCGAAATCGAGTATCGGACGACGTTCTGGAGAGCGAAGTGGTCAAGTCTGCGTTTGAAAATTCGGATCGTTCCTTCGTCGCAATGTTGACAGCTGAGACCATCTTCGAGGTTGGTTTCGGCGCATTGCTGGTTCTCAGCGACGGTTTGTTCGTTTTCGCATCACTTGCACGTTTGATCGATGATTGTGCTCGAAGATTCTAAAAAATGCATTTTTCGCGCGTCTTTATCAAATGAATCTTACTTGCGACATTGAACTGTTGTACCTTTTGATCTCTCGTTGATGTCTGCATCTGTCTGTCCTGGTAGAGCCGCTTCCAACCGTGAATTCCAGCCTCCTCCCTTTCCCCTGTGTCAATTTTGGTGCCTTTATCTCTTTTGTAGAGTAACTTCCAAATTGAATCTCTATTGAATATCTGAAGAAAAACGAGGGCGAAACGGTTCAACGAATTTACGTCAAGAGCCAACCATTGGAGCCAGCGAGCCAAAGCAGCGCGATAATCTCTCGGTCGGTTTTTTTATTATTCCAAGATTGTTAAACTGTATGGAGGGAAGTAACTGTTTCTTTCACCTCGTGGGCGATGCGCGATAACGAGGATAACTTGATAATATCTCTGTATTCCAAGTAACTTGATATTTTTCCGACTAAAGACTCCGGCAAAGTTAAGAAGGTGATCTCGCTCCCTTCAGCGATATTCCTGACGTGATTCAACACATGTTCACCTGTAATGTTAGACAGCTACTGATGGACGAGATCGAATTTTTTGCCTGAGAGTCAAATGCCTCACCAAATCCGTGGCGAATTTCGTCTTGCAATAATTTTTCCCGGCCGAATTCGGTGAACTTGGCACGATGTATAATCGGCGCTTTGTGCGGGCCGTGGGAGATTTTCCACAAATACAGGATTACCTGAGGAACGCGAGGAAGTTACGGAAAGGGGAACGGGGAGAGATGAAGCATTGTTAGTCTCATCTTGTTACCTCGTCTTGGAGAATCCTGAGACCGTAGTAATCTCTGCTAGGCGAAGGTGCCACTGAATACTTTACCAAGTATTCGATCTTGTTCATGCTCGACGTGACCACGTCGAGAAAGTTCGGCCTGAACTCCGCCTTTGGTCGGTCGCAACGCTGAAATTAGCACGGATATCGAATCGAGGCGTCTTCACGTTACTGATACTTCAACATCGTCATTCATCGATTATTACGTGTTACGTCATGTTACAAGCATAAAGAATGCTTGTTATCGCAGGGAAGAACTCATCCACACACGGGAGATTGGCTTCGTGATATTTTATTACAATATTGTTCGTATGAAGAGATGAAGATAAATATAGAAATGTCGAAGTAAAAATGGAAAGTCGTGTGGTATTACGTAGTAGTTGTAACGTAGCAATAACAATATACAAGGTAGGCTATATAGTAATATCACAATGCATGATTCACAATTTCGTAAAAGTCTAGAGAATAGAATATAAATCTAGGTAGAGGATGTTTCTCATATTTTTCCCTTTTCTCTTTGAATTGTCGCGTGCGCACTTAGAGAGACGTACGGAACGTACGTATATACGCAATATATCGACCGTTTAAAAAAACCTTCTATTTTATCATTACGTTATACTTTCGAAAGTGGACATACTCGAGGTACATCGATAGTCGTAGCGATTGTCGTCATTATTATCTCGCACAAAATATAATGTATGCATAATAATCGTGGTAATATATCGATCAGTATATACATACATGTATATAATACTTACTCAAAAATAAGTGAACTTTCGACCGTATACCGTGTAAGCTGATATCAAAAGACACGCCTAACAAATTTGTGAAAGATTATCTCAATGTACAATATAGATCAGACACCATCGGAGGATTTTATTCACTAATTATCTTAATTAGAGTGGAGCAAAAGCGAAAGCTGATAAATTATTTTAAATCTCACGAACGAGACTTCTTTCAGGAAAATCCCCCTCTCCTACTCTGCTTCTCGGCCGGCTCTTTGAAACGATCAGCGATGAAGAGCATCGACGATCGATGAAAACTTGACCGTGAAAAAATAATAACGACAATCGCGTACCAGCTGTGTTTTTCTCGCGAATACTTGCTTGCACGATTGATATGACGTTTCTAGCTCCTCAGGCGACCGCTGTGTCCTCGACGGTCGAAGGAACCGTCGTGAAAATAAATTATTATGTGCTAGCGTACAGTTGAAAAGTCTTACGAGCGACGGAATAAACCTAAGCGGTACAAAAAGATTTCGGGATTTCGGGCCGCGGCGGAGCGCGCGGGCCGATCGTCGTTGTGTAATAAATTCTACACGGCGATCGTCGGTGCGATCGTCGGAAAAAATCCCCGTGATTCAGGATCGTGCGATGACGCCGAAGAGCCCAAGAGGCCTCTTCTCGCCTGCATCCGCGAATATTCGCGCTCTTCCGAATGTCTCGCTGCGGATATCAAATTCTTTCTCTCTACAATCGCGCCTCCGCGCGTGATTGTACCGGCAAACTCTCGTGGAACGTCTCCGTAGAGCGACTGCACCGTCGCGAAGCTACGTCGCGAATTAACCGCCGAGGAACCGTCGAGGAATTCGTCGTTTCCGCAGTTCGCGCGATTTTGAGATCGGAGGCATTCGCTCGACGCGCACAATTTAGAAGCTGCAAAATTCATAGCTATTCACGCATTCACTCATTGTCATTGGAAAAGGGGCCGATATGCCGATTGTACTCAGCAAGCAGAGGTTTACCTCGCGTCATCAACGTCTTCGTCAATGATTTTCTCTCACGATTTTCTCACTCGATGCATTCGCTCACTGACGTATCTTCATCCACGAGATCTCGAAGCATCCACGTGAAACGGAAGCAAGCCCCATAAAGCTGACGACGAATTTTAGATGAGTCCGAACATTATTCGGACGATAAAAAGTTGATTCGATTTTTTATCGCAACGATCGGAACGTCAATGTGAGAACTCATCAAACCCACGTGTGGTGGATTAAAATTGGGCTTTCGATCAACCTGATATTTATTTCGCGCGACATACTGCACTACTCTCGATTATATTATTCACGTTTTTATTGCGACATGTTGAAACGTCCGAGGTGGGAAATCGCTTACTTCCGATTGTCATCCGTGTATGCATCGTATTTGTATACATAAATATGTGTGTATACATATACATATGTAAGAGTATACATAATATATGTATATATATATATATATATATTCGTATAATATTTTGGAAGAACAGATTTGCGTATTGCGATAGCGCGAAGAGGACTGGCGTGCGCCTTATCGAGGAGACCCGATATTCTTTCTCTCTCTCTTAGATATGTCAACGACCATCGAGACATGACCGTAAATCATCGGCAAATTTTGCTCCTCTTGCTAAATTTACAAATTTCCCACTGATCCGAGCGAGCGTATCTCTCTTATTTGATCGTCGTCCCTTCGATAAGACGCTCTGCAGAAGATTTCACGAGCACGGGATGCAAGGACGTGCTCGGGCTGGAACTCTTAACTTAGACCTAGAAAGAGAGAAGTCGCTCGCAAAAAGCCCCCGCCGAAACGAAATCGGGGAACGAGTTCGTTCGCGGTTCGATCGATCGACCCAATTTTCTCGCAGAGCATTCTGGGAGTTTACGCGTCCTACGGATACTTTGTACGTCGAATAGAGTCGTAGGGTCGATCGATCGAAAGGACCACATAGCGAGAAGAACGAACGAGAGATCGACGTAGAAAAGATTCGACCGACTAAATTAACAGCTTACAGCGAGACCGACGAATGTCCTTCCGCAACTTGGACGTGGAAAATATCAGAAACGTAAAAAAAAAAAACAAGAGAAAAGAAAATGCCGTGTGTCGTCGGCGCTCTATTATGTAAGTCGTTAAGATCAGGAATACACAAATTCGAAGTAAATTGAAAAATCTTCTCAAAATTCGCAGTCATTGGAGAAATGAAGGTTCTGCCTCGCGACCGATTTCGTCGGGTGGCATATTTCACTTGTAGCTTATTCCATTATCAAATTGAGAAATCACTCGATGTACCTTAACGCAATCGGAATCGCTCGACATTAATCCGAGTCGCTCCGCGTTAGTCGAAGTTTCCGTTTAGAAACGCTCGAAATACGCGGAATCCGCGATCCCGTCTCCAGGTCGCGGGACGACACGTTGCTCGCTTTCACAGTGTCGAGACGATTCATTGCTCCCACATCAATTGCCCTCTACGATTGCTGCACGACCGAGATCGCCGTTGACGTGATTGCTCTCCCGTCCATGCAGATGCTCGACGACGTCGTCGTCCGTTCGGAAGGTGCGGCCGCGACGGTCGGCTGCCTCTGCTCCATGTGATCGAGTGTCTTCTCAATAGCTCGCAACCGCTTCTCCAGGCTGGTGGTGCCGAGGATGCCCACTTGCAACTGCGGCCCCAGCGGCAAGATCGCCAGCAGCCACCATGCCCACGAAGGGCCGTCCGGCAGACGCGGCCAGTCCTCCTCCGTGTCCGGCATACGGCCGAACACTCGTTGAATCTCGGATTTCTGCGTGACCGGCACCGTGTCCCACCACCTCCGACCTTTCGCTCGTACCTGTGAATCAGACACCTTTGAAATGAAACGGAGCGTATCGCTTTGCATGTAGATAAAAATAAGAATTATAAACGCATTCGTATTCGCGAAGGAAGGAAGGAAGGAAGGAAGGAAGGAAGGAAGGAAGGAAGGGAGAAAAACCGAACGCATTTTGGAAATTTATTTTTGTAGAGTCAGACTTGCTCACCTTATCGTGGAGCTCCAGAAGATTCAGCAGTTGAGTCTCGGGTACGACGGTGTCCCTGAGAAATTCCACCTGTGCTGTGTCGTAACCGTCTTTCTCCCCGCCGGAAAGTACCCTAAATCTTTTACCGCCGACTGTGCTGAGAATACTACAACCGTCCTTGAGCAATACTCGATCCCGAATGTCCAGGATAGTGCCGTATTCCGCGTATCTGAAAGGAACACACGGGATCGTGTTAATTGGAGCAACTCGAGCTGCAAAGTTTCAGAGCGATCCAGGTGTTTCTAGGTTTCCGAGAAAGAGGTTTCCGTCCGTAAAGGACGAAGGACCGCGGACATACCTTTTTGTGCCCGTTGCGTCCTTGTTGAGACACGCGGCGATGCCAAACTGGCGCACCCCGCTCTCCAAGCATCTTCTGACCATCAGCCTGTATCTAGGCTCGTAGACGAAGAGAGGACAGGCGACGCACGGGAAGGCGGTCGTACAGATGAAGATAGCGATCTGCTCGTTACCCAAAAGACCCAGTCCCTGGACCAGTTCGAGCTGATGACTCATCGCTCTGGAGGTGTACTCCGCGGGCGCCACCGTTTTAAGCGCTCTCTCCACGAAATCCGTCACGGTCTTCTGACTGCTGGCTAGATACTGGAAGCAGAAAACGTGACATCGTTCTCCGCGAGAGAAGCCAAATCTGTGTCGGGTTATTACGACGTGTCTGGTGTGTATACGACGCGTTCGAGTCTTACGTGAAAATTATCGCTCTCTTCAAACTTCTCCGCGTAAAGAGGAAAATCTCTTTAACGAAATTGAATGTTTCGTTACTTGGGAAGGATAGGAATCGTGTGACAACTCGATTGTAGGAACAAAATCATTGCTCCCGTGGGAGCTTCCACTCGACCAATTTTCTTTCTCGGTTCTTCTCAGCCGAGTTTTTAACACAGCTAAATATCCAGATGAGTGAGATATTCGATAACAGGAATATCGTTTCACCCTCGTCGTACCGACGAGAAGTTTCCTCCGCTCAAAGAACGAAGAATTTTTTCCGTTCATTTCAGCGTTTCCTACTTCCCGTCGAGAGACGTTTCTCGCGAGCACGTCGATACGACGTATATAGGTATGACTCCGAGTATAACGCGCTCGAACTAATCAACTAAGAGCAACACAACGATATAATCATCGTAATACTGCCGGTTACACCCCCAATAGCAAAGAGAGCGTCGCAGGAAGAATCTCTTTCGAGATAATCAAGCGCGATTATCGGTATTGCGGAGATAGCAAGGAGGAAACGAGGAGCGCCGCGTCGCGCCGCGAGATCACCGCCCCGACGTCGTTGTCCTCATCATCATTAAATATAATACTCGTATAGACGATCGGTAATGACGCTGCGAACGCGGAAGCTCGCGACGACCGTCGCCGACGACCGCAAACAATAATCGTCGTTTCGATCCGCGGCGTCGTTGTTAACCGCTAGGAAGCATTACGTCTCATTTGCGGGCAGATGTCGCAGGACCTCGCGTCACGTGTTCTCCCACATCGAGCTCTTGGCGCACGGCTTTCGGGGCGAGCGAGTTTTATCGTTTTCCTTTTCGATCCCGTGTCGCAACAATAAATTGCAACACGTATTTTCTGCGTTAATATCGTTAGTTTAGATAGATTTAATCAACTGATCGAATTAAAGTATACACAAATGGTTCGAAACAAAGAGTTCGATTTGCTCTTTCTCCGTTTATGAGAACATGTACATACTACGTATTCGTGATTCTCCCGAGGGAAAGAAACGGGATTGAAAAAGGGGTTGACACGAGAACCCCCCCTCGAGTTATTCTGTCCGCGAGCAAATATTTTCATGTGAAGGAAACGAGAACTCTCTTACGTCGGCAAGCGATGTGACGCACAGAGGACAGGCCGAGGAGTAATCCAAACAGCGATCCAGGCACATCCAGCAATAGGTATGACCGCACGGCGTCGTGACGGGTTTCCAGAGCAGGCGACAACACAGGATGCAATCCAATTCGCCGGCGGTACCGCCGGAAAGCGGCGGCAAGAGGATTTCGGCGGGTTTCGGCTCGATTCCTGCGAACGACGTCGTGCCTCGAGATACTTTCAAGTGGTGTAATGGGTGCGCTCGCGCGAGGGCGAGGGGGGAGGAGGGGGTGGCGATCGATCAAGCTTACTCACTTTTCAATTTTTCCACGTCCTGGTACAGCCGATCCAGACTCGCTTGTAGCTCCGTGTTGACTCGCGGTGCGACGGAAGACCGAAGTCTCCTGCTGATCGTCTACGAAGCGGAGATAAGGTGAAATAATACGAGCGATTATATAAAAGACGAGGTTGGACGAGGTTAGACATGTCGATGAATAAAAGGTGAAGAAGCTCGCCCGGCGATCAGGAAATGAGACTAAACTCCGTCGGAAATGAGAAGATGAAGGAAGACGAGAGGAATTTTTTGCCAGTTTCTCCATCTCATTCTTTAATAACGACCCGTCGCGGAATGCGAGATGAGGATGCAAACGAGAATACCAAGGGACAGGATTCTCCCGAGGGACGCACCTGAGAAAATTCCTCCTCGCCGCTGCTGTTGTCCTCGCAGTCGGATCTGTTGAGGGCGGCGCGTCTGCTGCGCTTAGGATTCATTAATTGATGACGGCTCCTCGTGCGTGACGCGCTCCTCGTTAGACTGTACGGCGTGCGTGGCGACAGGACATTCTGCCGACACACTCCGGGCGACAGTACTCTGTGCAGGATCTGCAACACGCGTCCAGAGTCCTTATTATTAAAATCGAATAAATCCTTCTGCATCGAGTGCAATATTAACGCGCAGCTGGCGTCCAGTCCATCATGCATTACGCAATGAGATGATTATGTTGATGTTCGAAGAATCATAAACACGGCTACTGTCATGTAATCAGTTTCTAATTAATTCGTTTTTTCTCTTTCAAACGACCTCAGAGCGAAGCGCGAGCTAAAGACTCGACGCACAAAGAAACCACCGTGTTCCAATTAGAATCTCAAAATTACAAAACGCGATCCTTATCGTGCGAGTCGAGGCTTCGAGGGGGGCCAAACGCCGAAAATCGATCACGACCGCGACGAATACTCCTCTCGGATACCTCGTCGACGACGTTCTCGTCAACGACGAGAGCGAAGAACACCGCGTTATCCGACGCGACTCCCTTTCTCGTCGCATCTCGCGCGCGGACACACGTCTAAGATGAACGAGGAGCGAGAACCGGCCGCCAAATCGGCGGCGATTAACACACGAAATGACACGGCTGTTGCGCGGGACGTTTGCCGACGACGAAAGTAAAAGTGCGCCTACCGTAAACGCGGAGCCGCGGCGGATTCAGCGGCACGGGAAAGAATGATTCCTCGATCTTACATAAGTGGCAGTGGAGCTTGCGTCAATGATTCCGCCGTTGGCCGCGCGCTTACATAACAGCCGACGATCCGAAATTCAACGCGCGCGCGCGCGCGCGCGCGTGCTCCTTTTCCTCTCTTTTTCTCCCCTTTCTTCTGCCTCCTTAATTATTTAACATCGAAATTCGACGCGTGTGACCTCACGCGTTGAATTATTTAACGCTCATCGATTGTTGCTGCACATAGAGAATCGCGCGGCAGTTCTGTCACGTATGGCGTAAACTCGCGCATCCTCGTGTGACGCAATATTGCGAAGACCGCTCGAGCAGCTTCCGATGCAGATCAGCGCGCATAATTGCATGCTGATGCTCGGCTGATACGTTCGGCGACCAATCGATATTGCATCCTTGGCTTTCGCGTCACTTTGACAGAAATTACTCGCGTCAAGCGCGCGCGACACACTGCGGTGCGAGCGGAAGCTCAAGCGGGGGGACAATAAGAGAGAACGAGAGAGAGAGAGAGAGAGAGAGAGAGAGGGGGGGAGAGAGAGAAAGAGATCGAGCGATTGAAAACACCGTTAACGTCGTAACGTCGTAACGTGAGGAAACTTCCGCTATTTTAGACGCGACTAGCCACTTGCGACTAGGCACCGACGATTCTCGGCACGAACGGAACGTTCCCTGCCGGAGAGAGAAGAACGGCCGGGCGAGAATCGTCGTTTCGTACGACGTAGGAAAGGAAAGGAGGGAAAAAAAACGAGAAAGAAACAAAAATCCGACGCAGGAGAAATTCTGCATTATGCAGGCGAGAGTGGGAAACGCAGCGCGCGGGGTCGGCCGCGTGCGTCACCCGGGCCGGAAGATCGATATATCGACGCGGCGAGAGCCGAGCGGAACACGTGGAAACGGCGCATTCGCTCGCGAGAGGAGTAACGAAGAGTCGCTTCTCGTTCTCTTTCGCTCGTCCGCTCGCGCGAATGTGGCGAATCGTTGCCCCCGGCGCGGCGCGGCGCGGCGCGGAGTGCGCGGGTCACTCACCTGACGACTATCAGGTATACCGAGTCATTAAGCTGCGCGGCCGGCAGTCGTGCCGGAAACGTTGCGTTTTTTTTTGTGCCGATGATGCTCCCCGGTTATGCGGCCGGCTATATCGGAGGCTTGCACAGCCTCCGGCGAATTCCGCGGCGCGCGCGATGCGACGCGCGACTTCCCGCGCGGGAACTTATGGGAGCGGCGAGTTCGCTCGCGAGAGTTCTTTCGCGGCTTTAACCGGGGCGCTTCCCCGGGGCCGGAGTCCGCTCTTCTGCGGATCCACCTTACCTTGGTCAATTCGTGACGCACAGCCTGCGGATTCTTGTCGATGGCCACGCTGATGCAAAGCGCGTAGAGCGCCTCCTCGTGCCGGCCGAGTGCCGACAGAGCGATCCCCCTCCTGTAGTGTCCCTGAACACGCGAAAATTCAACGTTACGCGTTCAAGTAAGTCGACTTGAATGATTGTACGCCAACAAAAGAGAGTGAGATTGAATCTGAATTTAAAATCAAGACGCGCGCGCGCGTCAAATGTCACGCTGCCGGCGGCGCAAGCGCGCGGCCGATTGTGCCGCACGTAGACGTCGGTCCTGTGTGTTTCCTCACCTTGCCCCAGTCCGGCCGCAATCTAACTGCATGATCAGCGTCCGTGAGAGCGGCTGAAGGCCTATTCAACAGGAGCAAGACGTGAGCCCTGTTGCTAAGGTGGAGCGGGCTGTTCGGCGCTGAAACACGAGAGACGAACGGGCTCGTAAAACGTCTATCGAATGGCGGGCGAGTTTCAGTCCGGGACGCCCGAGGACTCGTCCCGTGGGAAGCTCGCGTCGGAGAATCGTCGCGAATAAATTCATCCCACCGGCCGAACAAGAGCCGACGCGGTGAACGAAAGACAGCGAGAGAACGGCCGCGCTCTCTGTCTCTCTCTCTCTCTCTCTCTCTCTCTCTCTCTCTCTCTCTCTCTCTCCCCCTCTCTCTCCCTCTCTCCCTCTCTCTCTCTCTCTCGCTCTCGCTCTCGCTCTCTCTCTCTCTCTCTCTTCCTCCTTCTCTCGATTTCCTCATCGCGCGATTAAACGCGCACGATTGTACCGTTTAATTCCGCGGAATCTCGTTTGCCGGAGAAAAACGTCTGCCATTTGCGATGCGCGAGGCGGCACGCTGTTTCATGGAAGTGACCGCGGCCGATGGCATCGGCTCGGCGCCGCCGATGCAGGCGGCGATGCATCCTGGCATTGTGAGCAATGTCATTGCCTTCGCGGCTCGAGTCGGACTTGCTCGGTCGGAGGCGAATTTCCGGCGGCGCGTACGCCAGTAAGTATCGCGAGGTACATTGCGAGGGGACGAGAGAGAGGGGGGGGGGAGCAGAGAGAGGGAGAAACAAAGGTAGAGGGAAAAAGAGAGAATCTCGACGAGGCGTGACTCGTTTGCGGTCGTTCGCTCGATCCCGCGTGTAATCGCGCGCCTCAATCCGCCCGCGCGCTCGCGCGCGCGCGCGCGCGCAAGCGTGCGTCTTACGCGCGTAATCTGCCGGCAGACGAGAAGCCGGACACGCTTGTAAACGTGTATTAGCTGCGAAACGATACACACCAAGTCTCGTGCACAGAGCGAGATCGCGAGGCCGGATCGAGGCGGTTCCGCGCGGGCGCGCGGAGGGAGGAATCTCGGACACCCGGTATATCGGACATACACGCTGGGAGCGGTCTCCATAAGTCGGCTTATGTAACTTGTCTTGGAGTGTCACGACGATTCGCGCTTGAATTCAGAAACGAGCCGCGAGGAAGCCTAATCGCTGCGCAGGCATTGTCGTTACACGAGCCGCTTATTTTGAAAATAACGCAAATCGCATTTCGAAAATCCCTTGAGCTATACGCCGCGCGACTCGCGCGCCGCGTCGCGCTCATGGCTCGCTTGAGCAAATCGGCTGCGCGCTGCTTAAGTAAGCCGCGCGCGAGCGTTCTCGTCGTCGAATTATAAACTTCCAACGAGCCGCACTCCGCGCGCGGCTGAGTCAAGCCGCGGCACCCCGGCGAGATCGTCTTTTCTCGCGCGATCCTCTTCGCCGTCGTCGTCGTCGCCGCCGCCGCCGCCGCCGGCACTGAAACTCTAGCCGCGAAACCGCGTGCTTGTATTATGAGCGCGTCGGTTACGTGCGCACGTGTGCGAAGAAGCGCGATTTTCCGCGCGAATTGCCAAGTTGCAAGAAACACGCGCGCGTCGGGATACACGACGAACAAGTTCATTCATTAGCGCGATCGTTCCTCGAGCACGTCGTAAAAAGCGCTCTTCCTGTCTACGCGATCGAATGCCAAGGTCCGCCTCGGATGATCGATCGCTCGCTCGCTCGCAGGTATTCGACCCGACGATCGTCGCTCGTTAAAGCGCGAGCTTCTCTCGGACAACCGAGCGTCCTAATCAACGGCGCGTCGTCGGATGCTTATGCTAATTAATCAAACCGAGCTGATTCTCGCGTGGTGCACTGGCGTCGGGTGAAACTTTCGCATCCTTGGAGCACTTGAACTTTCGTTACTCAGTAGGTGCTCGGGAGAACAAGGTCTTCATCAAGGTCTTCTCAGATCTTCAACGTTCTTGGAACATTAAATTCTCGATGCCTTGAATTCTCATTTGATTTGCGATTCATCATCCTTCTTTCCGTCTCTCTCGAACTTTTCTTATTTCCGCGCTCAACTCGGGGCTGGGATTCTTCATTGAATTCTTTCCTCCACTCGTTCGGGGATTGTATCTGCCTGTGTTTTCCGCGATGAAGCGCGTTATCTCGTAAGGACCCGCGGGATTTCTAAATCATACGAATGTGCAGCAACGTGCGCCGAGAGAGGTTCGATGCCGCGTGTGCAACGAGGCGCGACAGACGGCTGCTGACCTTCGTTGGAAAGAAGAGTGGCGTGGAATGAGGGAAAAGGAGTGTGTGAGAGAGAGAGAGAGAGAGAGAGAGAGAGAGAGGGAGAAAGAGGGGAGGAGGGGAGATGGGGCAAGAGAAGGACGGCCGGTGGCGTGTTCGAGGAGCGAGTTAACGGAGCGTCATACGGAGGTCTATGTTGAGCGTCTCCACGTGAGAATCGGAGCAAGAACTGTTGCTGCACACGTCGCTGAGCTTGCAGCGCCGGCACTCGCGGGAATTGATGTCGCGCGACCGAACGAGAACGCTCACCAAAGAGTGGCCCCCAAATACCCACATGAGGTGTCTCGTTTCCGGATCGCACGTATGGCAAATCGAGACACGATGCAATGCAACTCCGAAGACAACACGCCATCGTCGTCGTCGTCGTCGTCGTCGTCATCATCGTCATCGATCCTCGCGGGACCTCCCCGTCGTCGGGCGCGAGCGGCCGATTTACGAGCGTGGAAACGCGTTGCGACGATGCAACCCGGCGAGTTGCACGCGTTGCAACCGCATCCGGTCGGCCGTCGACCAAGCGCGAAGGGAGAAGCGAAAGGCGGGAAGGAAGGGAAAGAAGCTTAAGCGGCGGCAGCAACGAACGAGCGAGCGAGCGAGCGAGCGAGCGAGCGAGCGAACGAACGCGGCCTGCGCTCCGAGCCGAGCCGCGTGCAGTTGCAACTGTCGGCGCATCATCTTCCCAACGAGTAGACGTCACCCGTGCCGACGCAGCGCGGCGCGGCACGGCGTAAACAGCCGCGCACGTTACGTAAAGGTCGGTCACCCGGCGCGTACTACTCCATCGCGCCACCGCCGTGTCGCCGTCGCCGTTGTTGCTGGCATCGCATCGCTGCCCCGTTCGCTGCGAGCAATTACCATCTTCGTTTCATGGGAAGGTTGCATCGATTCGGTGCAATGGCAGTTGCTCGAGCGTATCGATCAATTGCGGAGGATAGCAGTCGCTGGCGCAGAATTTTGGCCATTGGCTTTTTCCGCTAGAAACTCGCGAAAGAGATCTCCAGGCAGGTTTTCTTCCGTTAGTATAATAACGAGGCGACACATCGCCGTGTTCAATCGAAGTACCTGCTATCGATATCCACAGACCTTTGCCACTTTCCGCCCGGCAATTGCCAGAGTTCGCGGCTGTGAGATGACTCAGCTCTCTCTCTCTCTCTCTCTCTCTCTCTCTCTCTCTCTCTCTCTTTCTCTCTCGGGCTCCGATGAAATCATCGACGATTCGACGAACTTTCGCGATAATTCCTGCTATTACATCGATATTGATTGCCGACTGGCACACGAGTTGCATTAGTTACCGTCGTACTTACCGAGCCTAACAATGAAAGAAAATTTCTTTTGCCGTGAAATATGTTTTATGTTCCAATATAATCTCCTGAAACTGCAATACATTTATTCCAACGTTTTTTCCAATAATTCAATACCATCGTCAAAGTGTGATTCCGGAAGGTTCTTTTCGCTCTGATGTACAGTGGTGGATAGTAAGTTTCATCAACAGTTATGAAACGACGCTTGAGATCCATATTATTTTGCTCAAAACGATCCAAACACGCTCGAGAAATACACGCATTCGAATGCGTTTTTGCTCAATCGTTAGCAAACGCGGCCAGCCATCTTGCGTAAAGTTTTTCCAACTGATGCTACTACTCGAATGATTTGACAGATCGGATAAAATCTTACATAGGTTTGTATCAAGGATACCACTTTCCAATACAATTATAGTTTGACAGTTTCTAATGCCATGTATGGCATTAGAATGTATCAGGTCGAGAACTATTCAGACTGCCTACGTATATTGTCGCAGGTTTCTTGTTGAATCCAGCCGACGTTCACAGGCTGACGTCGTATATCGACGAGCATACAAAACGCATGCGTTGATTTATGTATCAAGTACAAATAGATCCCCGCGGCCACAACAACGGGATATTTATAAGACACTCGTCGGGAACGCGCGCGCGTCCAAAGTCTCGCTCGTTTGCGAATAGTCGCGCGCGCGCGCGCGAGAATTCCGATTTCGCGCGAGACGTGTCCGCTCGGAGAAGCGCGCGCCATTAGATCAACAGTGGACGCGCGTAGACGCTCCATTTGAGTCATCCAGCAGACACTAATGATGATTCGCCAGCCAACGGGATGCACAATGTATCAGCGAGGTGTGACATCTCGTCGGGTATCCGCGTGTCGCGCGCACAGGTCATAGACTTACATATATCTCGCCTTTCTATTCTGGCAACGATCAATAATGCTCCATGTGTCGCACGCGGCGCGCAGCGCGCGCGAGCGTACGCGCCGCGGCTCTTCTTCTGCCGCGGCACCTGCCAAATTATTCGGAGGTTTCTCCTTGCATCATTTGCGTTAATCAACTGTTTAATCTCCAGGATAAATCAAGCGGCGCGATACAACAAGAGGAGGAGGAGGAGGAGGGAGCGAGGACGCGGACGCGCTTGTCAAGTGAAGAGAGAAGCGAGAGAAACTTGGACAGCCCGGCCCGAGAAATGAGAAATAATCTTTCAGCTTTTTCTCCTCCTCCTCCTCCTCCTCCTCCTCATCGCGACTCTCCTCTTTTCTTTTTTTTTCTTTTTCAGCACGGAACAGAAGCGCGACGGAGGATGAGGAGGATATTAATTGTCCATCTTCATTCAACGAGGAGAACCAGCGGATTCCCGGAGGCGGAACGATCTCATCCGCGCGGCTCGCGACATTCACGAGGAATTCGCGGAATTTCTATTTGCGGCCGCGTTCATTTCGCCGGCATATATTCGCCGGTCGGGACGTATTCGACCCCGCTGTCCAGGCCCGCAATCGAAATTTCATTAATTCGCG